GTCAACATATTTAAAATATATATTGTGACAGACAACATACAACAATTTCCAAACTAGTGTGGCCAGTGTACAGCAGGTGAGAGTGTGGAAATCAATTGAAAAAGAAAATGTATATGTATGAAAATGTGCAAAAAGGATACCACCAGGGAACTCTTTCCTGTGTAGGAAAAAAAAAAGAAATCATAAGAACAAATCATTCAAATAAAGGACTGCACAGTACATTTTCCTCTTCTGAAGTTCCATTCTATTAGAATTACAGAATCTGCTTTTGCATAGAGGCAGTATAGCAGGCCCAGGACATGAAGGACCCAGGTTCAAAATCCCCTGTTGGGCACTTATGGGGTGGCCACGCCTAACAGTCTGGATGTCACGGGGAGAACTGTGACAGGAATTGGGTTCATGGTGCCAACTAGCTGCATTTTGTTTTAAAAATAATATCAGGAAGTATTACTTTACTGAGAGGGTAGTAGATGAATGAAATAGCCTTCCACCTGAAGTGGTAGAGGTTAACACAGTAAAGGAGTTAAGGCATGCGTGGGATAGGCATAAGGCCTTATTAGTGTACTTTTTGTACAATACATGGGTGTGCACAAAAACATTTTATTTCAGCAATGAGAGTCAAATGTTGGAGTTCTTCCCATAGTCTAGGATCCAGAGGGCCTTTACATCAACTGACCCAGTAATTGCGATAAGTGTTGGTGAGCAGCTTCAGCTGTCTGCCCACCCTTTCTTTGGATACTAAGAAATAATTAATACCCAAATATCATATAAGAGTTCAAAATAGAATTACAAGTCAGTCCTGATATGTCTAGGATCTAAATACATTTTTGGTAGTTAACACTAACCCTATATCCCGCTTCCCTAAAACCATACCAACCCTAACCCTATGCTTACACTAACTCTACATTTATATCTGCCCTAACCCTAAAACAGCTTTAACCCTAACACAAACCCTAACCATACAACTAAACCTACTCTAACCTTAATCTAACCCTAACGCTACCCTTAAAGAAACCCACTGATAATATCAGTACTTATAACAGCAGACGGGTTTCCGAGTTAAAACAGTAGCGAGTGGCATCTACTTGCTGTTTTCAACATTACAGGGATATCCTTGTAATGCTGAAAATCAGGCATGAAGATTAGACTGTAATCAGTGCTGGGCAGCTGGCAAACCCCAGCACCAACTATAAATCGGCACTGGGCCATGCTGGGGAGTCCACGTCATTGTCTGTTTGGACCCTGGGGAGTCTCCCATCAGCATGTGCCAGCCCAGAATCACTGTTGCGGAGCACGATCTGCTCACCTGCTGTTTTCAATAGGTTTAAATGTCAATATGTAGCGCTCAAATGAGGATCCAGCTGACAGAGGGAAGCCCAAGGTATCAATCAATACCTGGGTCTCCTGGTGTAAAAGGATTTAACCCTGCTCACATAGCATTGCAGTCAATGGGCTTTTAAATCCCCATTTAAGGGACTGTATACAGCGCTTAGTTTGACCTCCGCATATAGCTATTCTGTTAGTTTGTGGCCACTAAAGCCTACCCCAGCTGACAGGGAGGCCACGGTATCGACTGATTTTACCAATTGACTAGCCCTGCTCACACCAAAAAATTAGGATGTATCAGTATGTCCTAACGGAGTTAAAGCCCAGTATAGAAACACATAACGACTCGCCCAAACGTCATCTTCCTGTGCAATAGGACAGTAGCTTTTCATCAAATGATATTGGTGATAGGGTAATTTTCACTAGTCCTCTAGCATGCTATGCAAAATATAGATTGTAAAAAACTAAAAATAATAATAATATATTTTATATACCTGTTTTCTTTCATAGTCAGGTTACCCATCTATGTTTCTTACACTGTGAAAGCTAGTCCATACATTTCCATATGTTTACTCTGTTTAGGTCTGTTTATGTCTGTTTATGCTGTTTATGTCTGTTTACCCTGTTTAGGTCTGTTTACACTGTTTAGGTCTGTTTACATTGTTTATGTCTGTTTAGGTCTGTTTATGTCTATTTACCCTGTTTAGGTCTGTTTATGCTGTTGATGTCTGTTTAGGTCTGTATACGCTGTTTATGTCTGTTTACCCTGTTTATGTCTGTTTACCCTGTTTATGTCTGTTTACCCTGTTTAGGTCTGTTTACCCTGTTTAGGTCTGTTTACTTGGTTTAGGTCTGTTTACTTGGTTTAGGTCTGTTTACTTGGTTTAGGTCTGTTTACACTGTTTAGGTCTGTTTACTCTGTTTAGGTCTGTTTATGTCTCTTTATGCTGTTTATGTCTGTTTACCCTGTTTAGGTCTGTTTACACTGTTTATGTCTGTTTACTCTGTTTAGGTCTGTTTACTCTGTTTAGGTCTGTTTATGTCTATTTACCCTGTTTAGGTCTGTTTACGCTGTTGATGTCTGTTTAGGTCTGTATATGCTGTTTATGTCTGTTTACCCTGTTTAGGTCTGTTTACTTGGTTTAGGTCTGTTTACTCGATTTAGGTCTGTTTACTCGATTTAGGTCTGTTTACTCGATTTAGGTCTGTTTACTCGGTTTAGGTCTGTTTACTCGGTTTAGGTCTGTTTACCCTGTTTAGGTCTGTTTACTATGTTTAGGTCTGTATATGTCTGTTTACTTTGTTTATGTCTGCTTACACTGTTTATGTCTGTTTACGCTGTTTATGTCTGTTTAGGTCTGTTTACGCTGTTTATGTCCGCATACACTGTTTATGTCCGCTTACACTGTTTATGTATGTTTATGCTGCTTACCCTGTTTAGGTCTGTTTAACATGTTTATGTCTGTTTGCACCTGTTTACTATGTTTAGGTCTGTTTATTCTGTTTATGTCTGTTTACCCTGTTTATGTCTGTTTAGGTCTGTTTACCCTGTTTATGTATGTTTACCCTGTTTATGTATGTTTACTCTGTTTGTCTGTTTACTTTGTTTACTCTGTTTATGTCTGTTTACTTTGTTTACCCTGTTTATGTCTGTTTACTCTGTTTATGTCTGTTTACTTTGTTTACCCTGTGTATGTCTGTTTACTTTGTTTACCCTGTTTATGTCTGTTTATGTCTGTTTACCCTGTTTATGTCTGTTTACTTTGTTTACCCTGTTTACTTTGTTTATGTCTGTTTACACTGTTTATGTCTATTTACCCTCTTTAGGTCTGTTTAGGTCTGTTTAGGTCTGTATACGCTGTTTAGGTCTGTTTACCCTGTTTAGGTCTGTTTAGGTCTGTATACGCTGTTTATGTCTGTTTACCCTGTTTAGGTCTGTTTAGTTCTGTATACGCTGTTTATGTCTGTTTACCCTGTTTAGGTCTGTTTACTCGGTTTAGGTCTGTTTAGGTCTGTTTACGCTGTTTATGTCTGTTTACCCTGTTTAGGTCTGTTTACTTTGTTTAGGTCTGTATATGTCTGTTTACTTTGTTTATGTCTGCTTACACTGTTTATGTCTGCTTACACTGTTTATGTCTGTTTACGCTGTTTATGTCTGTTTACGCTGTTTATGTCTGTTTACGCTACTTACCCTGTTTAGGTCTGTTTAACATGTTTATGTCTGTTTACACCTGTTTACTATGTTTAGGTCTGTTTATGTCTGTTTATGTCTGTTTACCCTGTTTAGGTCTGTTTACTCTGTTTATGCCTGTTTAGGTCTGTTTACTCTGTTTATGCCTGTTTACCCTGTTTATGTCTGTTTACTCTGTTTGCCTGTTTACTCTGTTTGCCTGTTTACTCTGTTTATGTCTGTTTACTCTGTTTATGTCTGTTTATGTCTGTTTACCCTGTTTAGGTCTGTTTATGCCTGTTTACCCTGTTTATGTCTGTTTACCCTGTTTATGTCTGTTTACTCTGTTTGCCTGTTTACTCTGTTTATGTCTGTTTACTTTGTTTACCCTGTTTACTTTGTTTACCCTGTTTACTCTATTTATGTCTGGTTACCCTGTTTATGTTTGTTTACGCTGTTTATGTCTGCTTACACTGTTTATATGTTTATGCTGCTTACCCTGTTTAGGTCTGTTTAACATGTTTATGTCTGTTTACACCTGTTTACTATGTTTAGGTCTGTTTATTCTGTTTATGTCTGTTTACCCTGTTTAGGTCTGTTTACTTTGTTTATGTCTGTTTATGTCTACTTTGTTTACCCTGTTTATGTCTGTTTACTTTGTTTACCCTGTTTACTTTGTTTACTCTGTTTATGTCTGGTTACCCTGTTTATGTCTCTTTACGGCTGTTTATGTCTGTTTACTCTCATGTAGTAACCAGGAATGAAACACAGTATGCAGTCACTACACAACATAACCAGATGAGACCCTATCTGTCACTGTGCCCTGGTATCAGCTAGTTATATATTACTCCCATTTAATCCAAGTGTAGAATATTTTTCGCAGTTAAAGAGGTGGAAGAATTGAATTTAAGTGGGTTACCATGGTAACGCTTCTCACACTCACCTCTCCTGGACAGCGCCATCTTGATTTCCCGTTCGACCTGTCGGCAATCTCCGCGATTTCTCGCCAATCTACCTGCCGCCTGCCGCACGTCACACCCGTCACGTGACCCGCCGAGCGGCCATCTTTATTATGGGAATTTTTTTTTTTTTTATTATTATTTTTTTTAATTCAATTAAAATAGATCGAGAACTAGGACCTTCGTACAGATTTCTCTTCGTGTATTTTATTCCTATAGTTTATAGCAAGTTTTGAGATTAGTAAATATAAACCAACTACAAACCCCACCCAGGCGTTGTATTTTGTTATCTCACCATCCGAGCCAGAGAAGGGTAGAATTTAATTCCTAATTTAATTACCAAGAGTTACTAAACTCAATTGAAATAAAGCTGGGTAAATGCTAACTTTGTAAAATAAACCCGGATGTTTTTATATTAACGACTCACACATTGCCTTTATTTAAGTTAATAAACATTATATTTAGAAATTTACAGATTTTCTGTAATTCACTTAAATAGAAAAAAAAAGTGCATGACGTCACTGCGCTTTCTGCCCACGTTAAACATGGCCGCCCTCCATTCTAACTGGAAATTAGCGAAGTTTGTATTAACTTTATTGCGCATGCTCAGGAAAACACCCGCGCTCTGCTGTCTCCGGAAGACCGCGGCGCCATCTTCGGCGGGGTTCGGCTGCACTCGGTGGTTTCCGTGGGCGAGAGTCGCGTCGAGTGATCGCGGAGCCCTCGGCTATTTCCGGATTGGGTCGTTTTTTTCCGGCTCCGGTGTACGGCTTTCCGATTGCGGGTCCGGACGGTTTCGGACGAAGGTTCTCGTGCGTTTCCGGAAATCGTGTTCGGCTATTTCCGATGGATGAAAGTCAAGCTACTCGGCTCGGGCTTTCAGAAGCCGCCGCGGCTGTGGCTGCAGTGGCGGCGGCTGTGAGAGACGGCCCGGAGGTCACCTCGGTTACTGTCATGACTGGGCCTGAAGGCAGAAACGCAGCAGGAAACGGGTACACAGGTGAGAGCTGATGCAATACTCACAAGGACCCGCTAGATGGCGCTCTCATAATCCCTGACATGCCCTCTAGAGGGCAGTGTTTACTACCTGGCATCAAGTTTACAGAAAGTATTGAGACCCCCTCACTTATTTATTTTTAATGTTGCTGCCTTATTTACATTTATTTTGTCACATAAATGTTCAGTCAGTATCCAATAATGTCAAAGAAATAACAGATTTTTGAAAACTTACCAAATTTATAAAAACAAAACAAACAAAAAAAACCTGAAATGTCACATTGACATAAGTATTCAAACCCCTTTTGCTAAAACGCTTTCAATTAAGCTCCGACGCATAGGTGCCAAACAGTCCAGATTTTGTCTATACAGTTACACATTTTGCAGTAATGTCTAAGCACATTTTGGTCCTGGAGATGTCTGGCATTGTGTAATCTGCCGGTGTTCTATCAAATTGATAGAACACCGGCAGATTTCAGAATTCAAGAGGGGATCCGGCATTAGGACCATACATGGAGCGCTTTAGAAGTGCACCGTGCATGGTCTGCAGGAGGAGGCAAGGCTGGTCACCCTCTTTAGGGACAAACACATGCCTCCCAGTTGTCACACTTTAGGGGTACTGCCCCACCGTCCTGCTTTAGATCCTAGCGTCCCACGTTTTGGGGACATCAAGGAACTATCCCTGGGCAACACAGTCTAACGATGCACTTGCGCTGTGTAGCGGGCACTGAGGGCCATGTAAAAAGCGCTTTAGCAGCACTGTCTGCATGGTTCTCTATGCAGGGAGCTGGCCTGGAGGCTTACTTTCAAACAACCTTCCTGCCACAATCTCATTAGAGTGGTGGGTTTTACACTTCCGTAAGACCCACCTCTGGTCCGCCGGAATGTCCTCTCACTCAGTTTCTATACTACCTAGCTAGCGCAGGTAGTGCAGGCTAGGGAGTTTTCATAGCAACTACAGTGCATGCGCTGTTGTTGCTATGAGTGGGAAGCAGAAGTACCTCCTGTGGTGGAAGAAAAAAATATTTTTAAACAGATTTTTCTCCCAATTTATACATTTGCTAGTAAAACCACTAGTACGCTGTATAGATGGAATTTAGAGCTCTTTTGTATAGAGCCAAAGTTGTTTTGCGCACTACATTTTGCCATTTCAAATAGTGTTCAACCCCTGGATTACACAATTTAATGAATTTGTTTGGGGACTAATACTAACACTTTATTACATGACTAATCATTATTCTCTTGGTAATTTGTTAATGGTTCTATTTTGTTGCAGGAAGTAGAGTCTTATTCAGTGTAACCCATTCCTGTCATAGTTGTTTTACAGACTGTTGGTCACAGATGCACCCTAGTGGTCAGCACTGCATACTCCTGGTATTAGTCCCTGTCCTTGGTGCTGATAGGTGGGAAACACGCAAGTCTGCTATTAACAAGTACATATAAGCAGTGCTGTGGAATCAGTCAGAAGTAGTAATTGAGTTACTGGAGCCTGAGTTGGTCAAAATTAGGGATTGACCTATATTGATTTTTTTAGAGGCGATACCGATAATCTGTGAACTTTCAGGCCGATAGCCAATAACTTACCGATAACGATATTCTCTACATTTACCATTTTGAAAAAAGAAACCGTTTCTACACAAATCTTCTGTTAACTGAACTTGTTTATTATTTATTTATTTTTGCAAATTGTTTTTTTAACAATTTGCACAAAATATTCATGCCAATCAGTTATTTTTTATGTTTTCAAGAATATTTAGTGTTCCTCTCCCATCCTTTAGTGTACCTCTGCCCCATCCCTGTGTTCCCCTCCTTAGTGTTCCTTCTCTCCGGGCCCTTGGTACCTCTCCCTCCATGTCCCTTAGTGTTCCTCTCCCCCGTCCTTTAGTGTGCTTCCCCCACATTAGTGGTTCTCTCCCCTCACTGGTGTGCCTCATTACGTCTCTTGTATCGTGGCCGAGTAGAGCGGACTGCGGTACTGGAGCTCTCAGTGAGCACTTCCTGTCAGTCCAGCCGGGTACAGGAAACTAAAGCTCCTGTACCGTGGTCCGCTCTGCTCTACACTCGACCACGCTACACAGGGTGACTGGTAGGGGGAGCGCTGTGTGCTTCCTTCCTGCCGGTCATTTGATTTTTGTGCCCAGAGCCGGTGCGGCCTTCTGTTCCGCTCTAATGCGGCCTTCTGTTCCGCCTTATGGACATGCCAGCCCTGCGTGCGCTAGGCCACTGCCGTTTCCCACGTTATCGGCAATATCGGTATCAATAGTGGCCGATACCGATATTTGCCAAAATCCGGAAAATCGGCCAATAATATTGGCCAACCTGATAATTGGTCTATCCCTAGTAAAAATGTACTAACTCAGACTAAATGTATAGTGTATGCCTGCGTATTAGTGAACCCGCAAAAATTAGACTTTTTATATAATGTTAGACCTATATTCTTTGGGTAAGTCGACCCCCCAAAATCATATGTTTATTCACACGCCGAGCTACACGGTTAATTGTAATATAATTATACAGTATATAGGGACTCGGAGGTACCATGAATTGAGGAATTGGAGTCAGGTTTTGTGTATCGACTACAGAGTTCTGCAAAGAATCTGCCTCAAGCTGGTTACCTAAGTTTATGCAAAAGACACACTACATTCACCAAAACAACTTTAGCTTAATTAAGCCATTTTTGTGTATAGATGATGTCCCTGCAGTCTCACTGCTCAATTCGCTGCCATGTAGGAGTTAAATCACTTTTGTTTCTGTTTATACAGCCCTAGCCACACCTCCCCTGACTGTGACTGACACAGCCTGCATAAAAACTAAATGGTTTCACTTTCAATCAGATTTAACTTACTTTAAAATTTAACTTACTCTCCTGCTTTGTAAATTGAACTTTAACTACATAGATTAGGGTCCTGCATAAACAACATTATTTAACTCATAAATGGCAGAGAATTGAGCTGTGAGACTGCAGGGACATGATCTATACATCTATATAGAAACATAGAATGTGACGGCAGATAAGAACCATTCGGCCCATCTAGTGCCTATCCCATGCACGCTTAAACTCCTGTTTAAGTGTTAACCTCTACCACTTCAGCTGGAAGGCTATTCCATGCATCCACTACCCTCTCAGTAAAGTAATACTTCCTAATATTTTTAAACTTTTGCACCTCTAATTTAAGGTCCTCTTGTTGTGGTAGTTTTTCTTCTTTTAAATATAGTCTCCTCCTTTACTGTGTTGATTCCCTTTATGTATTTAAATGTTTCTATAATATCCCCCCTGTAAATGAAAGCTCTTCCTGGATTTGAACCCAGGACCTCTCGCACGGGTAGGCAACCTACGGCACTAGTGCCCTGCACGGCACACAAGGCTGCTAGAGCCAAAACAGGCTCTGTCCTATCAGGAGTCCCAGTAAAACTTCAGATATCTGCTAATACGAAGAGGTGGTGAAGGACAATCCTCAATTTATGCATTGCAGCACAAGGAAGTGCTAGATATACAGAGATCTGCAGAATAACCCTCCCCTCATACAAATAATACGAACAGCCCACACACAAACATACAATCCACACAAACTCAACACCACTGACAATCCACATACATGCACACAACCCTACATGCAGCCTCTCACATGCAATACCCCAAACAGCCCCTCATATACACATCCTACCAAACACACAATGTGACATATCCATCCACACACACAATTCAACAAGCAGCCCTCGCACACCGCCCACATTCATATGTATCATACACGATACCACAAACTACTAATGAACATATACAATATAATAGCTTATATACAGACAAATACAATGATACAAAGCAACCACGGTAAAAATAACACAAGCAGAATACGGCAGCATACACACCTCAATTTAAAAAAATAGGACTGGCACGCTACGGGACATCACAATCCTATATCGGCCCAGTGCTACTAAAAGGTTGCCTACCCCTGCCCTAGACCAACAAGCCATTAACTTGTTTTGTCATTAAGTTGTTTTGGTGACTATAGTGTGCCTTTAAAATACATAATTCATTTCATTTTTTTTAAAATGGGAATCCTCTGTTATCCTGTGTGCCATTCACTCTGTCAAAGCATCATGGGAGTTTTAAGTCTGCAACAGCTATAGGGAGACATACCCCTGAGTATTCTGAGCTGAAGGCAGTATTAAGCCTTTGGACATCTCTTTAACTCTCTGTTCCCTTTCTTTAGAGGTTACAGTGTCCAGTGTTGGAGCCCCGGGAGAGAATGTCTTCACAACTTCTGTGGCCAGCGCCGCCTCACTCTCTGATCATGTCCTTGTGAGTACTGTGTAGAGTTAAAAGCTTGTTAGATCTCCACGCTGAGCCTTTGCCTATTTAATGTCATTCCCAGGGAAAAAAGGAGCACAAAGGGCATGTTTGTACTGGTACTTGTTAAAGGAGCAATCTGTGCATCATAACCTTTTCAGTGAGATAATGTGGTTATGGTTCCCCCAGCTTACCTTTAGCGAACAGTTTAACCCCAAAGTGTTAAATCCATCGCCTGATTGGTTTGCCCACAAACATTCACGCAGTCTGAGACTTGAATCCGACAGGGAAACAGCTGACGCTTTCAGACCATCAGCGGCATCCATATCCAAGGCTTCCTGATCCAAGCCTTGAACTGCTGCAGATGTTCATGGGCAGACCGATTGGGCTCCAGATTCAACACTATAATCCCTTGAGTTACACCAGTGACGATGCCGATTACGTTATTATGATGCCCGAAGTGTCCCTTTAATTGCTCAGATGAGTCAGTGCTTTGGCTGCTGGGAGTGTATATAACACAATTTTAATTGTGATAATTGTTATTCTTTTTGGGGAAACTTACATAATTTACTTATACATTATAGATGTAATTTATATCATTGTAGCGTAGTTTTTACGTATTCCCCATTTGGCACTTCAGAAGCAACAAGACACTAATTGCATTATCAGACACACTTTCCGGTGATTAATTAAAGGAAAAATCAGCCTGGGATGTTATTTTTTTTTTATTTACAGAGGTAACATTTGCAAGGGATACATACACAGGTTTATTCATTGAACAGCCTCAAACTATAACTGACTTGGCTATTTTAGCTAACCATTTTAAGATTCATTTTGGATCCCTGACTATTTAAATTACCCTGAAAACCTCTTTACTTGGCAGTATCAGACAGAAGTAAAAGATGCCAGATTTTGTATGTATATATGCAGTGATAGCTCAGTACTATTAGCTTCAGCAAATCATAGACATCCAAGGTCGAATGGATAGTGTAGTAGTAACCGGACAGAGGTGAGCTATAGGTGCCGAGGGAACTACAGGTTTTTCTCAAACCTTTAGAAAATGATTTAATGGAAACTGGTGGGAATGCACCCATAGACTTCTTGCACCAAAGACATTGCAATAATGAATGCTTCTGTTGGAAGAGAAGAACCCTTCCAAAATAAAGTTATTTAGAAGTGGTCAAAATACGGAAATACCACGGATTGAGAGAATAGACTTGTAGGAAAATGTTTTTTTTTTTCCCTGGCACTATAGCTCCCTATAATGCTCCTCTTCGTGGTGATAAAGGGGTTAAAAAAATCACTTAACTGATTCCAGCACCGATGTCCTTGGCACAGGCTCTGGCTCTCCCTCAGCTTCTCTGTCATCTTCACCCAGCAGACTGGAGCTAATGCGCATGCGCGGCGAGCACAATATTCGCATTTACTTCCCCAGAGGAAAGCATTGGATGTCCTCATTCTGAGTGTGAGGACGTCCAGCGTCAGGTGACTAAAAGTCACTTAGCCAACCGGAAGTCCCTCTAGTGACTGTCTGGTATATAGCCACTAGAGGTGGAGTTAACCCTGCAATGTAATTAATTCAGTTTATCAAAAACTGCAATAATTGCAGGAAGTGGTCTGAATGAGCTTAAGTGGTCTGGGTTCCTATAGTGTCCCTTTAAGTTTGTCTACGCAGAGGCATAGCAAGTTAACACGAGTCAATCTCAAATTAAGGAACTTGCGCAAAGGTCCAAGATGATCGAAGTTGAAATGAAGTGCAAGAGTATATGGCTGTAGCTGGTAAGATTGTGTAACTTAGTAAAACATCACAGGATAAACAAACCTATATGGATACAATTGACGCTTTAATAGCATAGCCGCCTGCCTGCCTTAAGGGATGCCAGTTAGAGAAAAGTTCCAGTCATTTGGGGAATCCATCCATTCCATAAAGCTCTGAGCCTTGCATTGACAGTATGGTACAATATTGTACATTTGAAATGAATTACATTAAAATCAGCACTGCCCTGTACAATGCAGCTGCTGTTTAAAGTAACACGATTGGGTCAGAATTACATATGTGCATTCCTGACCATTTTAGCTGCCTGGCCGTCCCTTGTGAAATAAGTAGAAAACATACAATTTCTCCAGCACTGTGCTGGCATCGCCCCTGATCCACCTCCTTGGCTGAGATCATCAGAATTAATGTTCTCAGCCAATCCAATGCTTTCCCATAGGAATGCATTGAGAGGCTATAGCGCATGCGCGGCAAAACGATGTGCTGTGTCAATCAGCATCTCCTCATAGAAATAGATTGAATCAATGCATCTCTATGAGGAATGTTCAGCATCTGCATGCAAGGGGTGGAGACACTGAACGTCAGTGCAGCTCTGACCCAGTAAGCACCTCTTGTGGCCGTCTGAATGATTGCCACTAGAGGTGTCACTAGTCAGCTAGTCAGTCACTAGTCAGCAATGTAAACACTACCTTTTTACTGAAAAGTCAGTGTTTACATTAAAATGCCTCCAGGGACATACTATAGACACCAGAACAACTACATTCAGCTGTAACTGTTCTGGTGTAGTTTAAGAACGTCATATAGTAGGAAGAGGTTAGAGCTTAGAGATTCAGGCACAGCCAATGCACACATTGCAAATGAGAACACTAAAGAGAAATAATTGAGGAGATTTATCAAAATATTGTATACTGAAAAGCGGTACAGAGATGTAAAGGGTAGAACTATGTCTGTGAATGTGTATGTTACAGTGAAAGTGTGTGTTGAAATGACTGTGTATGTCAGTATGTGAGTGTATGTCAGTGCTTGCATCAGTGAGGGCGTGTGTCTGTCAGGAAGAGAAATTTGGAAAATGCATAGGGCAGAACAAAACCAGAATACACCATTGACAACAGTGGGATAGTAAAAAGTTAATGGGCTCTGTGTGAAGGTCCCCCATCGAGCACCATTGAAAATTTAACCAAGGGGCCCTGTGGATAAAGTATTTTGTGTGTGATCTTTAAAAACAACCTTCCACACTTTTTACAGATGATTTGTTATAATTTCTAGGTGTATCAGTTGGATAATACAGGCTATATTTCTTATGCAGGGTGAAAGAACATCTCTGCAAATTGGGGACAGTCTGAGCACAGAGAAGGCCACTCTGATTGTAGTGCACACAGATGGGAGTATTGTGGAAACGCAGGACCTTAAAGTGCCATCAGCCCCCATGACCCCAGGTATGGAACATCTAGCAGTAATGTTGTTATTGGGGGTGCATGGATTGAGTCATGTTTTGGTTCACGTTACCATAGCTGCTGGTTTTAGTTTCTCTATGCCGTCAATAGCACAGAGATTAGTCACTAAACAGACTATTGTGTTGATTTAAAAATCACATTCTCATGAGTTAGTTATGCTATATTAACAGCAGTTATTTTGGCCTACATTGTGTGATTTAAGTGTCAGTTCACTCTAGCTCTATGCATTTTGTTCTTGATAGGATCAGAAAGACCGTCCACGCCACTGACGCCTGGATCTGGGAAAGATGGCACTAAATATAACTGGGATTCGTCTGTTTACGAAAATGAGTTGCCTGTACGGTGTAGAAATATAAGTGGCATCCTCTATAAAAACCGTCTGGGATCAAGTAATGTACTTTCTTGCAGTTCTTATTGGGGAAACCATTAAACCGTTGCACATAGAACATAATAGATAGTCATTGCTCACCCCCTAGAGCAGGGTTTTCCAAACTCCATCCCTCCAGATAATGCTGAGCTACAAATCCCATAATTCTCATGCTATCTATTTCATTCATAGAGTCATGGGAGTTGTAGTTCAGAAACATTTGGAGGGCCAGAGTTTGGAGAATCCTAGGACAGAAATCATAAACTTCCAAACTCCAACATGCTAGGGTTGACACAGTAAGAGAGCCCGCTGCCTTATTGTTGGTCTCTGATCTATTGTACATTTATTAATTGTATATGTATGTACATATAGGTGCTAATGTTTGTACATACAATTGATCCTTGTTGTTATCATATATTATTCATTTAAGTAAATTGCTTTATTTTGCTGCCATAATCTACTGGAAGGGTATAATCAGTAATGAAATAAAATGTACATGATAAACATCCCTTACACGTATATGCAAACACAGTTTGTTGATGTTTTACATGTGTTACTGCTTTCAGGTGGCAGAGGGCGCTGTGTGAAGCATATGGACAGTTGGTACACACCAACTGAGTTTGAAGCTATGGCAGGCAGGGCAAGCAGCAAGGATTGGAAGCGGAGTATTCGGTACGCGGGGAGACCCCTGCAGTGTCTCATTCAGGTCAGTGACTGAACAGCCAGGGTGTGAATAACCCAAAATGTTATTACTAGATTTTCTAGAATAGAACTGTTATATACTTCTTCCTTAAAAAACAAATGATTTATAACAGCGGTGCACACAAATCAGTGGTAGTGCTTAAATTCACTTTTTATACAGTGCGTTTACAGGCTATGTAATTCCTTACAGGGAAACCATCACATTTCTGTGTTTACACATACACTGATCAGTCATAACACGAATAACATTGATTATATTGGTTTAATGGCACCTGTCAATGTGTGGGTTAAATTAGGCAGCAAGTGAACACAGTCAGTTCTTGAATTTCATTTGTTGGAAGCAAGAAAAATGGGCACATAAATAGTCTTGAAGTGAGTGGGTGTTCCCATAATGCAGTTGTTAGTGAGTACCAAAAGTGCTGTAAGGGAGGAAAACTGGTGAATCAGCATCAGGATTGTAGGTGCCCAAGTCTCATTGATGCACATGGGAAAAGAAGGCTAGCCTTTTCTGATCTAATGACACAGAAGAGCTCAAATTGCCGAAATGTTTCTGCTGACAAACTTTATTGCTGGGAAACCTTGGGTCCTGGCATTCATGTGGATGGTACTTTGACACATACCATCTACCTATAGATTGTTGCAGACCACGTACACCCTTTCATGGCAGTGGCCTCTTACAGCATGATAAAGCACTCTGACACACTGCAAAAAATGTTCAGGAATGGTTTCAGAAACATGACAAAGCATTCAAGGTGTTTCCTTGGCCTTAAATTCTCCAACCTGGCCCTGTATGCTGGTAGGAACTCTGTATCGTTGTATGTATCAAGGCAGGAGCTGTGTGTTTGTTTGCATGCTGGTAGGAGCTGTGTATCATTGTATGTATACAGGTAGGAACTGTGTGTGAATGTATATATGCTGGTAGAAGTTGTGAGTGATTGTATGTATATATGCTGGTAGGAGCTGTGTGTGTGAATGTATGTATGCTGGTAGGAACTGTGTGTCGTTTGTATACAGGTAGGAGCTGTGTGTGGATGTTTGCATGCTGTAGGAGCTGTGTGTCGTATGTATACAGGTAGGAGCTGTGTGTGAATGTATGTATGCTGGTAGAAGCTGTGTGTGGATGTTTGCATGCTGTAGTAAACTGTGTGTCGTTGTATGTATACAGGTAGGAGCTGTGTGTGGATGTATGGATGCTAGTAGGAGCTGTGTGTGAATGTATGCTGGTAGGAGCTGTGTGTGAATGTATGTATACAGGTAGGAGCTGTGTGTGGATGTTTGCATGCTGTAGTAAACTGTGTGTCGTATGTATACAGGTAGGAGCTGTGTGTGGATGTATGTATGCTAGTAGGAGCCGTGTGTGAATGTATACTGGTAGGAGCTGTGTGTGAATGTATGTATACTGGTAGGAGCTGTGTGTGAATGTATGTATGTTAGTAGGAGCTGTGTGTGAATGTATGTATACTGGTAGGAGCTGTGTGTGAATGTATGTATACAGGTAGGAGTTGTGTGTGGATGTATGTATGCTGGTAGGAGCTGTGTGTGGATGTATGTATGCTGGTAGGAGCTGTGTGTGTATGTATGTATGCTGGTAGGAGCTGTGTGTGAATGTATGTATTCTAGTAGGAGCTGTGTGTGAATGTATGCATTCTAGTAGGAGCTGTGTGTGAATGTATGTATGCTGGTAGGAGCTGTGTGTGGATGTATGTATGCTGGTAGGAGCTGTGTGTGGATGTATGTATGCTGGTAGGAGCTGTGTGTGGATGTATGTATGCTGGTAGGAGCTGTGTGTGAATGTATATGTTGGTTGGAGTTAGGTGTTTAGAAGAGTATGGTAGTGGAAGCTAAAAGTGTCAATCACAGAAATGTCCAGTTGCTTACCTGTGTGTTTAAAAGTGTGGGTACTGGTTTATTTTTAAATTACTGCCTTTTCGATGACAGTAAAGAAAGTAGCTGCAAAAAATAAAAACTGACATATTTGACATCAATGTAATATCTTAGGAAGACGTTTTTACATCTAAGAAGTTATATCCACCGCAGGTGCTCCAATATGGACTTTTTCAGATCCATTTGGCATCAAAACATAAAATAAACTCTGCAACACAGCTTTATAATGAAAGCTATTTTTTCAAACAGCCAAATAAATGCACCTGGCAGCATTTCGACACCCAAGGCTTGACAAAGACACTTTGATCAGGAAAGTCAGCAGCAGAAGATGAAACCTCTGCAACACTGCTTCAAAGCTCTGCTCTGAGTCTATTGAAAAGTGTTTCCAGACAGTCTGAAATCTGCTTCAGATCATGGCTGGTGATGACAAGAATGAGCTTGTGCTAACCTTCTGTTTGCTACAGAACACAGGCTGAATGGGAAAACTAAAGTAAACATTGGCAGGTACCAAAACGTTTGCAGCAATGATTTTTAACCTTTTTGCGAAAATAGCTCGGTTTTATGTACATTGAATTATCTTGTATAATAAGCTCAGTGACACTGTCATACAAAATAAACTATATTCTGCAGATCGCCAGGATCTTCGTTGTGTTAAAGGGATTTTATTGCAGTAGGGAAAGGCAGTTCTTCTACGAAAAACTATTTATTTCTTGATTTACTTTGGACATCTGTGTGCAGCCATAGCGACTTGATGCATTGAAAGTATCATGGGTGGAAACACTGTCATAGCTACGAGGAGTTGAAACCACCGACTTACATTGATGTGTGAATTTTATATGCATTAATCTTTGACTGCACAGATAATATAATGATGTTGGTGGCTAACTGCTCACATACTTCTTGTAGGATGGACTTTTGACTCCTCACGCTGCGTCCTGTACATGTGCGGCTTGCTGTGATGACCTCAGCTTGGTGAGTGACATAGGACATCTGATGTGTCTTCTAGCTTTTGATATTAAACTATATAATTAAGGGAAAACTCTCTCGGTAATCAAACCATTTAATAGCATTTTAACAACTTACTTGGGGTCTGCTGGGTGCTTGCTGCCACCTTCTTTGAAGACCAGAAGCTCTCAGCCTTTTGCTAGCCTGGAGGTACGGGGGTTAGCTCATTGGTCGAGAGCATTTGGCTGACACTGAGCTGACCTGCATACCTTTCATCTTTATCCTCAGAGTAAGGTTACCATATTTTGAATGTTTGGTTTGCAGGGCAAATATTACTTCATCTTGATGGCACCACGTGGAAAGTGCTGCCAAGCAGGGTGTATAATGAACATGCTCTAGGATTCCTCCTTGAGTAAAGGAACATTATAGGCACCACAACAACTTTAGCTTAATAAAGCAGTTTTTAGTGCATAGATCATGCACCTGCAGTCTCACTGCTTAATTCTCTGCCATTTAGGAGTTAAATACATTTTGTTTCTGTCCATGTAACTCTAGTCACACCTCTCCTGGCTGTGACTCACATAGCCTGCATGAAAAAACCTCCAGATGGTTTCAGTTTCAATCAGATGTGACCTTACTCTCCTGTTCTGTAAATTTAACTTTAATAACATAAAGGAGACCCCTGCAGGGTCTAGAAAGCTATTAACAAAGTGGGAGATAAGATATTCTAAATTAAACAGAATTTGTAATAAAGGAAGTGTAAACATTAGATCTCACTTTACAGGAAATGTTTAGGAAGACTGTGTAACTCACATACAGGGAGGTGTGGCTAGGGCTGTATAAATAAAGTGATGTAACTCCTAAATTGCAGAAAATTGAGCAGTGGGAATGTAGGGGAATAACTTAAGCACCAAAACTGCTTAATTAAGCTAAAGTTGTTTTGGTGACTATAGTGTCACTTCACTGCCCAGAGCCAGACCATCCTTAAGAGAGATCCAAGAAATGTATCAGTAAATATTCTGTTCACTATCCATCTTTTCATTGGCTGGCTATGCTAAAATTAACCTTTTCAGTTTTCATCTCTCCAACAGAGTGGCCCTGTTCGCCTGTTTGTTCCCTACAAGCGTCGTAAAAAGGAGGGTGAAATGCCAACTGTCCCTGCAAAAAAAGAAGCAAAGAACCTCACCCTCCTGCCCACCACAGCTGCGGCTACATGTAAGGACTGCACGCACTAAGCAACAGGTTAATGGCATTGAGGTGTATAATGACTTTGAAAGTGTAAGACCAGAATGACCTTTTTTCTATGTCTTCATCGTGTTCATTATCACTAGATGAAAGGGGACACGATGGGATTTCTAAAGACTTGAAAATATGAAAATGAAATTTAAGCAGTTTGCCTTTAGGCATTTCTAATTTTAAGTTACATAAATAATGTGACATAATTGATGTTAAATAGTCACATTGCTCCTTGTACACTGATCTAAAATTATATTTTTCAGGGCACTGGCTTAAAGAATAATAATAATAATAAAAAAAAAAAGCCCAAGCAGTTTTCCTGCAATCTTTATAATAAAGGGTTAGCCCAACCAAAGTATAGTCTTTTGCTAAAACACTATTTATTGTTAGAGTAACCCTTAACGGCATGCCCCCGGCCCCCCAAAAAACAAAACCGAGATCTATGCATGCTGATGACCGAAGCCATTAGCCTGTCGTTCAAACTGAAACAATGCACATACAGACTTAAAACACCATGACTACTTTGAAATACTGAAGTAGTCATGGTACTTGGAATAATCCGTCAAGGGTTTATGTTTATCGAAATAGTAAGTTCCTAATACTCAGGGTAAGCCTATCTGACTCGGAAAATGATTCCAGTTTCGCTGGATTGGCCTTAAAGGGACACTACAGTTACCAGAACCATTACAACTTTATGTAATGGCTCTAGGGCTTATAACCTGTTCCCACAGGTTCAGCAACACGAACACTGCCTTTTACATTATTTACACTGCTGCCTACGGTCACCTCTAGTGGCTCTCTCTCCAACAGCCACTAGAGGTGCTTCCTGGGTTCAGTCTCTACATGGAAATGCTGAACGCTCCCAATAGAGATGCATTGATTCAGTGCTCCTCTATGAGGAGATGCTGATTACCATAGCAATTTAAATCACATGTGCACTCTCCTTCACAAAGTTTGATTATCTCAGCCAGGGTAGTGGCACAGCTGCACTGAGACTGGCGTGGCAAGGGCTAAAAGGTAAGTATATCTTCTTTTGTAATGCACACGTGTGTATTCCTAGCACTATAATGTTCCTTTAAGTTTAAAATTCGGTTTTTGTTTTCTGACAATTCTGACTCTAGTTAATCTTGTTTGTTTAATACATTTTACTGGCCAGCCTTCATCATTTAATAAATGCAGCTTATTTAGTCAAGTGGGAATGCAAATTTAATTTCAAATTTAAAGGGACACTCTATGCACCCAGAACACTTCAGCTAATTGAAGTGTTCTGGGTGCTGTGACCCTTTTGCACTGAGTGCTGCAAAGTAAAGCATTGCAGTTTCAGTGAACTGCAATGTTTACATTGCAGCTCTAAGTCTGCCCCTAGTGGCTGTCTGCCAGACAGCCACTGGAAAGCGTTTGCGAAATCCAATCAAACTTTTGGTCCATTATCTGACACTGGACGTCCTCACGGACCTCCAGCTTCAGATGATTTTCCCAATAGGAAAGCACTTAATAATGCTTTCCTATGGGGAGGTCTAATGCGCGCACGGCCATTGCCGCGCATTCGCATTAGGTCGCCTCCGTCGGTTGATGTTGGCGGGGGAGGAGCGTGGGCGTAGCCTGACCCAGCACCAAAGGGACATTGGTGCTGGATTCAGGTAAGTGGCTGAAGGGGTTTTAACCCCTTTAGCCCTGCAGGAGGGGGGAGCTATAAACCCTATAGTGCCAAGAAATCGGCTTTGTTTTCCTGGCACTATAGGATCCCTTAAAGGCCAGAGTAGCCAAAAAAACTTTGTAGAGCAAAGCAAGCCCATGTGGGATCACACTAACTGGCTGAGAGTACTCAACTGACACATGACAATCATCATTAATCACATGATCTTGATAACACTCATGCTTGCCTGCTTATGTTAGATATAGGGCTCACTTTTACCAAACAGGTAATGGTAAAAGTATTCAGAGGGAGATTCCAATAGTTTCAACATCATTAGCTGCTCATCAGCAGCCATTAATTTTTCAACAGTTATGAAGTAGTAGAACTTATCCCTTTGTTACCATAGAAAAAATAAAATTTCAGGTACTTTACTGAACTCTGTGAAATATATTTGCTAATGGCAGAATTGAAATCTAAGCGATATTCTGTAGCTTACATGTTTTCTCCTACAAATTGCAATTCCATTGTCAATTTTCTCCAGTTCCAACTTTTTGTGAATATGCCACATTGACCTTAATGACAATTTCAGTAGTGGACACCAGTGCTTCTACTCACAGAATTCTATAATGTTATTTACTGTAGTCACAGTGTCGTCTTCTGGACAGATCACCGCTTCAGAATCGTTGACCTTTGAACGTGCCACCACTGCAGAGGCATCCGCTATCCTGTCCGATAGCCCACCACAGGGGGACGTATACACTGGTGCAACAGGTAAGATCTACACTAAATGGCTATCGATACACTTTTTTGACTTTTATGTATTCTTTTATTTGATTTTTTTTTTTTTATCTTGCGTTGCATTTTTCCATCTATCTGTTGACTTTCTTCTGAATGTATTTAAAAGAGTGGCAGACATTTGTAGGCACATTAGGGTTAATATTGGAGGTGAGACGTTAAAAGACTAAATATAAACCATGTACAGTGCTTGCAGCTCTTCCACCCAGAGGTGCTAATTGGCAACATCAGCAGGAAGGGTTAGCTGTCAGAAAATACACTTTGTTTCCATTCACATCCAGATTCTATAAATGTGACCCACTTTTGTTATATATATATTTTTATCCATTAAAAGTATATTCCTAGAGTACTCCATAGGCACACCTTCCCACCCCCCTTTCCCCTGAAGTAAGAAAATAAATATATATACTGGCCGTAAGTGGTGGCCACAACATGACTGGCACGCCGTAGGAAATAAGTCATTATTTCCTATGCCGTGCCAGTATCGTTGTGGCCACCACGCAGACTCAGGCTAATCTACTGATAATCTCTGGCAATCCACTGATTTCCCACAGGAAAGCTTTTAGGGCCAGTGGGCACGCGCGGCACTCTGAGCACTGCTCTAGTCAGCATCACCTTCAAGCAGTGGCGGATCCAGAGCCTGATCTCGGGAGGGGCACTTGTAGATTATTTAAAGAAATAATCCAGACACAATAACCACTACAGCTCAGTGTAGTGGTTATGGTGTCAATAGTGCCGGGACCCCCTCCCACAGTAAGTAGTCAAACCGTTTAAAACAGTTTGACAACTTACCTGAGATCTGCTGGGAAATGGGGCTGTAGTAGGGCATAGGAGCAGTGGTGTGTGTGAGTGGTGCTATGTGTAAGGGGTGCAGTGTGTGTGTGAAGGTTGTAGTGTGTGAGTGAGGGCGGCAGTGTATGTCAGGGATTCAGTGTATGTGTGTGTATGGGGGGCAGTGTGTGTGTATGGGGGGCAGTGTGTGTGTATGGGGGGGCAGTGTGTGTGTGTATGGGTGGGCAGTGTGTGTGTGTGTGTATGGGGAAGCAATGTGTGTGTGTATGGGGGAGCAATGTGTGTATGTGGGGGCAGTTTGTGTGTGTATGGCGGGCAGTTTGTGTGTGTATGGGGGGCAGTGTGTATATGTGGGGCAGTATGTATGTATGTGGGGCAGTGTGTGTGTGTGTATGTGGGGGCAGTGTGTGTGTATGTGGGGGCAGTGTGTGTGTATGGGGGCAGTGTGGGGGGCAGTGTGTGTGTGTGTGTGTATGTGTGTGTGGGGCAGTGTGTGTGTATGGGGGGCAGTGTGTGTGTATGGGGCAGTGTGTGTGCATGGGGGGCAGTGTGTGTGTATGGGGGGGCAGTGTGTGTGTGTATGGGGGGCATGTGTGTGTGTGTGTGTATGGGGGCAGTGTGTGTGTATGGGGGCAGCAATGTGTGTATGTGGGGGCAGTTTGTGTGAAATGGGGGGCAGTTTGTGTGTGTATGGGGGGCAGTGAATGGGGGCAGTTTGTGTGAATGGGGGGCAAGTGGGGTTTCTAATGGGGGGTATGTGTGTATGGGGGGCAGCATGTGCATGTGTGTGGGGGGGCATAGGGGCAGTTTGTGTGTATGGGGAGGGCAGTTTGTGTGAATGGGGAGGGCAGTTTGTGTGAATGGGGAGGGCAGTTTGTGTGAATGGGGGGGCAGTTTGTGTGACTGGGGGGGCAGTTTGTGTGACTGGGGGGGCAGTTTGTGTGTATTGGGGGGGCAGTATTGGGGGCAATATATATGTGTGTGTGTGGATTTTTTTAATTATATATATATATATTTTTTTTATTTAATTAAAATAAATATTATCCTATGTCCCCCCTCCCTTCTTACCTTTACTGGGGAGGAGGGGGGACATACGATCCCTGGTGGTCCCAGTGGTGATTCCCTGGTGGTCCCAGTGGTTACAGTGAACTCTAGCCCGCGCTCCCGGGCTAGAGTTCACTCTCGCGAGATTTGGAGCGTTGCCGTGGTAACCGCGGCAACGCTTCAAATCTCACGAGAGGAGGACCCGGAGGAGCTGCAGCCTGAGCTCCGGGTCCTCCCTCTCACTCCCTCCCTCCCCTGCCGGCTGTCAGCACAGTGCCTGCGGACCGGGTAGGGAGATCTGTGATCTCCCCTCCGGTCCGCAGGCACATTGCAGGGCTGGCAGGGGAGGGAGACCGGCGGAATTCTCGGGGGGGGCAATTGCCCCGTTGCCCCCCCCCTGGATCCGCCACTGCCTTCAAGCGATGCATTAACTCAATTCATCTCTTTGGTGAGGCTTTGTTTGGGTGGAGATGCTAAATAACTGTCCTGCAATCTTTGCAAGATCTCATCCAGGAATTCCTTTTATTATTATTATTATTTATATAGCAGTATCTGAGTGACAGCCACTAGAGGTGGTGTTAGGCAGCAGAGTAAACACTGCTGAGGCTGCGGAGACAATCTCTGTGACCCAGAACCAATACACTAAGCTGTAGGGTTTTTGTTTTACCAAGACTAGAGTGTTTAAATAAACCCTTTATTTTAGTGCATTATGAAGAAAATATGCATAACGCTTTATAATATACCTAATTTGCTGCACACATTCAGTTTCTGTAGACGCCAGGAAGTGGCAGGGTTTTCTGAACTGACCTTGGTCCTTTCACTGTTGTCAGTGGGGATCCTATGACTAACCCATAACATCTACACTACCGATATTAATGGGAAATGTAGAAAAGCCATTTCATTTATGAACCAACGTATGTGAAACTCCTTAGCAAACCAATATCAACCGCCATGTTTTTTTATTTTAAATTATGGAGTAACTTGCTTCAGGATTTTGTTGGTTTTGGATGAATGGAGCTACTTACAGCTCCTGTAGATGCCCTCCTAAAAATATAGAGCACATAGAAATTTGACATCTATAGCAAGCTAGTGCTGTACTCAAACATATGTTTTCAGTAATCTTTCCAGTATGTTGTAGTATGTGTTGGGCCATGGGCCTATAGCTACAGATATTTTGGCAAATTACTGCAGCTGTAATACTCTGGATAAAGGGAGAGAAGAGCAAAGGCTTGTAGAACCATAACATTGTGAAAGGCACATGGGGTGCAGTGGGTAATATAGCATACGTAGACATGGTGGGATTGTGTTGTTCTACAGGTTTTTATTACGTAAAGAAACCCAAACATATTTTCCCCAAACCATACCAAGGAACAGGCTCTAGTTTATGGGATTATTAGAGGGTTTTTATTTTATAAACCGTATACACTGTTCTGCACATTCACGTTAATTATATAGTATACACCGATTTGATGAACCCCTGTATATAAGTATTTATTGTTTTGATCATTTTCAGAAGTGTATTTGGATGAATGTTGGTATTAATGTTCTAAACTAGCACAGCACTACTTGTGGCGTGGCGTGTTTTCTGCTGATTTTAAGTTTTGCCCTTTATCTAGCACCCATAGGAAGCGTCTTGCACTTTACGTTATTATACTTAGTGGGTTACCATACAAGTTTAGCCATTTATTTCTCGAAATAGCTTAGCATTTTGTCTTTTACAACATAATTTCAGTGGGGGAAAAAAAATATTATTGAGTTTATTGAAGAAAAATAAAGTAATTTAGTTTAAAACTTTATCAATACCATCCACCTGTCTTTTCCCATCCGTGTACCTTGTGTCAATGTATCTGTCTTTCTTCCACCTGTGCTAACCCAGGCCGACATTATACCTGTTTTCTCCTTGATTTTCTAGTTACTCCTTCTATTTATTTATTTTTGGACTTGAGACCGTACACCGAGAGGTATAATTAAACGCTTCTCTCTCTTCTCTCCATACCTCCTTCTTGGTATCTCTAGCTGTCCATGAAGTATTAACATCTCTCCCAGCATTGGCTCTTGCACCCAGCACTCCAACAAAAGAGTCTTCTCACGGTGGAGTTAATGGACTGGAGGTGTCGGAACAACAAAGACATTGGTTGTACCTGGAGGAAATGGTTAACTCGCTGATTAGTACTGCTCAGCAACTAAAAACCTACCTGGAACAAGCAAAGAGTGAGGCTGCTGTAGAAAGGAAAGAAGTAAGAAAAAATATAAACTAGTGATGATCTTTAGCGTTTTTGTACATGTTTTGGACACATTGAAACCAAACTCTACTGTATGTTTCCACTCTATATTATGAATCGAGAGCAGGTCCTGTATTCTCCAGAACAGAAATCTAAAGTACATACAGTTTGTAGCAATAGATAATTCACAACAATAAAATATTATTATATTGTACATCAACTTCACTGATCACAACACAGCCACCCCAGGGTACCAGAAGCAGTACAAGTTATAATAATGTGGTATTTTTGAAAAAAAAATTTAATTGCTCCTAAATTGTTGTTAAATATTAGATTAAAATTTGCAGACTCAGAAACAAAAACACGTAAGTATAGCTATAAAATTGACTGGATCTACATGTGTACATAAGGAGAATTGAATTGATTGACCATCCCCCATTGTGTTTCATTAGTAAGGGGAAAATGTTTTAACCCTTTTGCAGTGTGCTGTTCAATTCAATAATAGTCCCCTCCTCTCCACACTCACGACACAGGTCATTGAGATGATCTGTAATTAAATCCTTAATCTTCTTAAGAGACAGGTCCCATTGCATCTGAAACCTGGCATTAAATCCTTAGTGACTGGACTGCATAAAAGTGTTAGGTCCACTTAGAGCTAAAGTTAAAGTTCCAGTTTGTCACTGTTTTCGTATTACAGCCATTTACATGTTCTAGACTGGGATTTCTCACCGCTGGTGAGAGTCTAATTGTGTAACACAATAAACACACAATGAGTAAATGTGATCTTGTGATGCACCATAGAAGTTCAATGTCCCAAATTGATGCAATTGTTACAAAGTGTCCAATTTATTCTCCTCCCTTACCTGGCTCTTACAATGTGATATTAAACGCTGTGCACTATAAATCATTAATACGGTCTCACTCTCAGGGTTATTAACTAAAATGAGAATTCAAAGTGAATTCCAAATTCAATGTTCTAATAGATGATCTAAAAGCATTCTCGAAGTCCGCTTTGCTTACCGTTTAGCTACTTTAGTCTTATATTTGAAATTCACTTTGAATTCTTCCTTTAGTGAATAAGCCCTGTTTGTATATTTGGGTATGCCTGCTGTAATGTCAGATTGAACTCACTTGATACTTAATAGTACCTTGTGGGGTATATTGGACGGGGTTTAAAGTAGTCAAGCCACAGTTTCATTTCATAATATAATACTGGTAGGCAGGAAATGGTACATTGCAGGGAATTTAAATGTGCAATAATTTGATTTCAAACTACTGGCCAATATGCTAACTCCCTGTACGGTTTTACTTTCTAACCTTTTTTTGGCCTTTGTTCAAGTGACTTAACATGTAATCCTTTTAAAATAATGCAATGATGTTAAGATGGCATTGAACAAGCGGAAGTTGCTGGATACAATTATCCTTGATTTTACAAAGGTCTTTCTGAAGCTCAAAGTCAGTTACAGGTGATCGTTCCCTGTAATGGTTTCATGTGATCAGACCCACTTTATCATCAGTGTTTCCACCTCACTCCCATTTAAAGGAATACTATAATGTATAAATGCAGTATTTATAGAGCTATGACTGCAAGGACACGCTATAGACTCCAGAAACATTACATTAAGCTCTATTTGTTCTGGTGACTATAGTGTCCCTTTTAATGTCCTTCTCACTCCTTGTTACAAGGAGTATCCATCCATCCATGAAAGTATTATTTTAACAAAAAAAACACATATACACATTGTATTCCACAGTGGAATATGTTGTTACTTGATAAGTAAACTAATTATATAATTTGTTTCTCCCTATAGTTTCACAGTCATTTGTTCCAGCAAACAGAAGAAATGGATGGAAAGCATGAAATTCTCCTTAGGGTAAGCATTGCAGCACTTGATTTATTTAGTTTGAAAAATTGAAACAATATCTATTGTACTTATGGCTAAGAAACAACCAGATTGTAGTTGTAGTATATAATATGTTGTCTTTTTTTTTTCTTTTTTTTCTGTCTCTCTTTTAGAATGTCTCAAGTGAGTAATAGTTTCCATCGTGATACATTCTCTCTACTCACGAGATAATTAATTTAATCTCTGACAGAACACACATATATTAGCTTTTTACGTAAATGATTGTGTGTAACATACGTTCACACACAGAGAGGTCTTAAAGCTGGGAGGTGACACAGGATTATGAATGCAGTGTCCCAGCTCGATCACACCGCAACACACACCTCCCTCCCCTCTCACTCTACATATCATTACCTTGCTATTTTAAGTCCTCTTCCTTCTCACTGTTCACACTCTCTCCAGCACCTCCTGCGTTCTGTATTCTAGGCTTCACTTCCTCCCCAACCCCCATGTTCATTGAGTCAGCTCCCTTGAATGCTCATCAAGATGCGCTTCAGTCTTTCAAAAACTATCCTCTCTGCGTTTTCTTAATTTTTTCTTTGTTTCTCAGATTAGACACTTGTTATCACCTTTTCTCCTACCGTATAATGAGCCATGTATTCCACGTGGTATTACAATTCTTCTCCCTTGCCTGTATCTTGATATTTAGTACATGCAGTTTGTTCCTAATATGGGATACAACAAATTCAGAGATTACAAACTGATTGTTTTGTGAGGACACATTTTGTTCCACACTCAAATCAGGCACACTAGCTCTTCCTTTGAATTTAACTCGGTTAATCTTTTCATGCAAGCTTCACGCGCTATAATAGGAAGGTGAGAATTGTAGTCTATCATTGTGAGGCCGCTGCAGACAGCCTTATTGTAAACAAAGTGCCTGTAATAATGAAACATAGATTGTGTGATATACACAGTATTTGTATTTAACAAAGAATGCTTCATTTAATATAGTCTGACAGAAAAGTATATGGGGTTGTGTTAGAGTTATAAAAAAAAATTTGGTTTGCTTCCTAGTATAACTTGATGCTAAATTATGTTTCTGGATGGAGTGAAACTGAAACTGCTTTATAGACGGCTATATAAACTACTATTTACTAAAAGACGCCATGGCTTCATAGGCAGAAAAGTCAGTTTTTTGGGGGGTTTTTTTGCAGACAACAAATGCCACACTTAGTGACACCAGGCATATGGTCTCACTAAGTGATTGGTGAGTGTTAAAATAACTTTATCAGTGCTGTGCGCTCTGTTCTTTGGCACCGAAAGATTTAAATACTCTGGCAAGATATTCAAGTTTTCTTTCTTTGAAAAGGAGAAAATTGTATACAGACACAACTTCAAAAAAGGAAACTGCAGGAAAAAAAAAGGCTGTTAAAAAATATATCAAAACAAAATAATACATATAAATGTTCATGCTGATCAAATTTTTAAAAAATAATGCACAGAAGAAAAATATATATAAAATCTAAATTAATATTTTTCTTCTATGCATTATTTAAAAAAAATGTGATACCAATTTTGGAGATCAGAGGTGGAAACACTTGGCCATCAAAGCTTGCGGTCCTTCAAACTATGAACCACGTGACTGATCATAAGCTGGTCTTGTGGTTAAATAAGGGCCAGAGGGCATGGGAACCCTGTGGGCCTAATGGTATATGGACCAGGAGGCTCAGCTAGTTCCTTGGAATCCCCCACATCGAGCATTAATTATATTGTATTCCTCCAGACAGGCCTGGGGATTGCAGGGATGGGTAGAAACCTAAATGGTTATGTTTACCCTCCACCCCATGACACAAATGGTGGAGGAAGGCCATTAATCAGGGCATTCTTGCAGACTAATTTGTTTGAAGTTGCACTAAGCAATTCTAAGCGAATTTCAAATGAAAGGCCAGAGTAGCCAAACTGAAAGCATTGCTGACTTAGAGAATTTTTCCAGTTCAGCTGTTTTTGACCTAAAATTTGAAATTAACTTTAAATTCTCACTTTCTTTCTCTCTTTCATTATTTTTTTTTTTTTTTAATTCTTTATTTTTGGTTGTGCAAGGATACAGAACATCGTATGATACCATAACAGCATACATGTGCACTATTAAATACATTGAATCACAAACAAAGCATTGAAAGAGCTGCACCCCTTGGAGGCGCGAGCAGTATCGACCAGCGAATAGAGGTGTCAGGGGTATGACCACTTACAGCCTCAAATTCGGATAACACCCTAGGACCCCCTGCCTCACCCCAGTGACGTGGCTACCCACTACGGACCGTGTGCTAAATACTCCTTATTGTCTGTACCAATCTCCTGGGGTCGTCCTCTTGTGGGAGGGCTGAGTGGTCCCCGGTGGAAGGCGTCTCCTGCCGGGTGTTGAGGGTCGGTTTACTTGTCGTTTAGGTTTCCCTAACACCTCAGGTGGGGTTTGGCAGTGAATTTGTTATGTGTCTGCTTGGGTGGGTCGTCAATTTATCAGACGGTTTCCCGTGTATTTATCAGTCGCATGGTCTGCTCAAGCCCTGGTGCCTGTAGCTTGGGCGGCTAATTCCAACCATGAACTGGTCATCTAAGGGGTTTAGTTAGTGTCTCCTTGTCCGGTGGGTTTCTCTCTACGGGTCGCTACTTGCCTACATTGGGTAATGTCAAGAAGGGCAGGTTGTAACCCGGAATTAGGGGTATTGTGCAAACCATTCGTGGTTGGAGTTCTATCCTGCCAGCAGCTGTTTTGTCTCAGAGAAGCTTCCCCATGTCGCGTGCTATGGCACGCGCAAGGAGTAGCCGTAGCTAAGTAAGTGGGGGTACCATATTCCTATTGGGCACGGGGGGCCCTCCTGCTTGCCCACTGGCTCCCTTTACGGTTGGGTTCTTGCTAACACCTGCGTTTCTACTATTCCCCTCTCGCTCTCCATTATGTTGACCTTCAGATACCGGAACCAAGCACCGCAGCCCAACCTCAGTGTCTTTCATTATTTTTAATTCTTTATTTAATCATAGGCAGTGGGTAACACAAATAACAGTAATAACAGTTGACAAAAGTGCAAAATCTATCAACATGGTATGCAGTATAGGATTACAAAATATAACAATATTTGTTTACTGTAAAGAACAAGGCCTAAGGTGGTTGTTGAACAGAAGAGCATGAATATTGGCCTGCTGTAGGTCCACATAGTATAGTTTAGGCCGAATCGTAATCCGCTGTTGAGTAAATAAAAGCATAAAGCTTTGACATATCATACACAAGTTAAAGCACAATATAAACAGCAAAGTAATGAGAGTAATTTGTAGTTTGGAATTCTCACTTTTGTTATTAACCCTGCTACAGTTTTAAGTTGCAATGGAAGTGCAGCCTCAGCGACAGATTTTATCAACAGCATGGATAACGTCTGGGCACAACTAATTCATTAACTCGGCTTCTACACCAACTACACCAGATTGCCGTGTGTTACAAATGTATACCTTATTCAATAGTAGCTTTGGAAAGAGGGTATGTCTTGTTGTATGAAAATGTTCTCACACAAGGAAATTCAAAGTAATATTCAATTTCAAAATTTACGCCAGTTAAGTTAGAAAAAAAAAAGTCAGTTCTGTTTTTTGATTGTTTATTTTGGCATTGAGTTTGAAATTTACTTTTAATTCCTGTTCATTCTCTTTTTAGTTATTAGCCCTGAGTATGTATTATTATAACAGAAATTATGAACAGTGTTTGTCAACCATATCCAACAGGGCAGGTTCTCGGAAACTACTCACGTAGGCGCAAGAAACCACTATGAATGTTAAACTGTTGCGTGAGAGCTGACCTTGAAACATTCTGTTTTCTAGCAAAGTGTGACATAAGCATTAATGTATCACAAAACATGAGACCTGTCAAACTCACTGCACTGTGAGAGACATGATAAATTCTCCTTTTTATTTTGCAGTGAGAAACCTATACAGGATCCTAGTAGGGTTAATGGTCCTTTACTGCACTAAACCATGCAGTTTGGGTGATTTCCAGTTTTTTTTTTTTTTACAGGGTTATTAACTAAAGTGAGAATTCAAAGTGAATAAAAACATGCACTAAAACTCCCACTACTCCTAGGTGGCACAATGACTGTAGTACACATCAGCCCCAATACATACAATAAAAACCATACAATAAAGACAATGAATAGAAAAAAGTTACTTGCGCACTATCCCACTATGCACATTTACATTTTTTAAGTATCACTCCTTGAGGTGGCAGGTGAGCTTACACTTCAATGGCCATTGGAGTGATTCTAAAAACCTCCAGTTATTTCAATGTGCATAGGGGTTTGCGATAGTGCGCAAGTAACCTTTTTTAATTTGGTTTTTATTGTATGAATTCAATGTAAATTTCCGATTTAAGGCCAAAGTAAAAGCAACTTATAAACATTTTTCAAGTCAGCTATTTTGGCCTCTATTTAATATTCTCACTTTAGGTGAATAACCACATATGTACAACTTATGTTGAATGTCAATTTAGACTCTGCACTGGCCTGTCTAACACTTCTGTTCTTCTCTGTTCTTTGTTTAGCAGTCCTGTGTTAATTGTGGCAGAGAGGCCCTAAATGAATGTACTGGCTGTCACAAGGTGAATTACTGCTCCATCTTCTGCCAGAGAAAGGTATGGATTATGGTATAGTATGATTACACCACTGTCCAAGCGAAGAGATCAGCTCCTCCATCTTTGAACCCCTTCATATTGGCTGTTTGTCTGTATTGTGAAATTGGAATTTTTATAGTTTATAGTAAATTAAACATTCAAACTGCCTGTCATCAAATGAAATGTCATGTACAGCACCCTCTACTGTTTGAAAGGCTCTAATATATTAGACTTGATCTGAATATTTTATCCTTGTTATATAGCTGTACATAAATATAGACCGAGTAAGTCTTGGCGTGGCCATTAACATCGATCTGCACAAGTCACAATACAGGAGAAATTGATTTACTCTTTCGTGATTTGTTATGACAGGATGGAAACAAAGTGATTGTGGAAAAATTATATTCCATGATAAATACAGCTCAGACTAACTACAAACTGAAGGCTAACAGCCCTTAACCCTCTCCACTGCCCTCCCGTTCCAATATAACGCAACTCTGAATGGATCACTTGGAGAACAAGGGTTGCTCCCATGACAGTTCCTCAAACTCCAAAAGGCTTCTCCTATTTTCGCCCCTACTATCTTCTGGTGGTCTTCTAAAAGCTAGCAGTGATCCCTCTATAGTCATTAATCATTCACACCAACATAGAGTTCTAAAATGCGTAGCCCGACTAACCATTAGGTAACTTAATCCTGAAGATAATTGGTTCCATTTACCGTCTCTATACTGAGATTGAAATGACGACAAACTGGTAGCCTACTTAGGGACCTATGGGTTCTTTAGGTGTCTTTCTGTTCTGTTATCCCCAGTAATTCTATCAATAGTCTAAGCCATGGGTCCTCAAACTCTGGCCCCCCGGATGTTGTTGAACTACAACTCCCATGATTCTTTGAATTACATAGATAGCCAGAGAATCATGGGAGTTGTAGTTCAGCAATATCTGGGGGGCCGGAGTTTGAGGACCCATGGTCTAAGCAGTTACCCGACTACTATATTTCACTGACCCAGAACTAGTGCAGAAACAAAATGTAAAGACCCTTTACCAGCTCCTATCAATAATATTTGAGGGTTGTTTATTTTATTGCAATCTTCTGAGAGCTTGCTCTCAGCAGAACCTGAAGACTTGTGACTTATTGTAAGTAGAACTTTCAGTCTGGTAATAATACTTAGTTATTTTCTTTTTTAGGACTGGAAAGATCATCAGCACTTGTGTGGGCAGGCATCCACCCTTTCAGTCCATGCTGAGGATGTCCATGTAACAGATAAAGACCCTGTTTGATGATGTCGGTTACCATGTCATATTGAATATACAAGTTATATTTCTGCTTGGTGACGTTTGGGAAAGAGCCTAGTATCATAACGAGCGGATGTCTAAAAATGTTCTTACATTTGATGTAAACTGGAGAGCATATTTACTAATGTTCCACATTGTCAAGTTTGAAGAGACCGAGAACTTTAACTCTTGCCAAAAAAAAAAAAAACATGGATTCCTAATGCATTCTATCATAATGACATTCTTAATGGAAAGGTGTTTATAGTGCAATAGTGTTTTTATATATAATATAAAATAATTTAAAAAGACTTAATGAGCCAAAGAAAGCAGAATATCAAACTTCAAGTCTCCACTGAAATCTTTTTTTTCATACAAATTTAATGCATTTATTAAACCTGTTTAGGACAAAATGTTACACTTTGTGATAATCACAAATGGTCCTTAAAGTCTTTTTGCAACATGAAATTTCCTGCTTTTAACTTTGACAGCACTGCCCCACCGCAGTCATTAATTCTGTGTGGTTATTCCATTTTTGGAATGTGGTTCTTAAAGAACAAATTGGTATGACAACATAGACTGTTGGATGCTTTAACAGTAAAGCAGATATTGCAAGTGCAGTATTTTTTCATTTGTTTATTTTAATATATATATATATATGTGTATCAAATATTTTATAAACCGTGAACTGAAAGATGAATTTATTCTGAATGTATTACATGTATGCCAAAATAAGGTTAGTTATATAGATGTGTTGGGTATTTTCCCAACGCTCACAAATAGAAAATGGCAGTGTGCTGGGTCAGTTCATGGATACTTCATATATTGAGAAAGCTTCATACAATGCCATCCAGGTAAACACAGGAAATAACAAATATGGTCTGAGAATAAAGTTATATCTGTCACTTCTTCTTTAATGAGTTAATATTTGATTTGTACTCACAAACATTTCTGTAATTGAGCATGTGTCCATTTTCATAGCAAACCCAGGAAACTTACATTTAGCCAGCTATGACATGCGTGTGAATTTATGATTCACTGAGCTTTGAAATCCCTGGATTCTAGAGTTTACTAACGAGTTGGTTTCCATAGATGGAGTGTTGGCCCTAAAGTGGATCTGTAATGATTTCTGCTTTTAGCATACTAAAAATCTGTCATTATGTATTTTATAAATTAAGGGTTTTTTTCCCCACAAATTTTTTTTTTTTAATTATTGTTATGGAAAAGTGTGGCCTTTATTTCATGTTATAAACATCACGGTGTTAATTGGTCACTACGAACTTTATTGATGACTGAGGTCAGTCAAGTTACACAAAGTGATCTGTGAGGAAAAAATGAGAGTGTAAATGGGCACTATAGGGTCATGAACACATACGTGTATTTCTGACACCATAGTTCTAAAACTACAGTTTCAGTGGTCAGCCCCCCTTACCTGCCCCCAATTCACCTCGAAGCATTGAATTAGCTGAGATAATCAATGCTGATGATCTCAGCCAAGGAGGCTGGAGGGCATGGGGGGAAAAGAGCCAAAGGCCACCCTGGCCAATCAGCATCTCTTTATAGACAAGGAAATTATTGGGAAAGTTCAGCATCCCCATGCAGAGTGTGGAGATACTGAATGTCAATGCTGCACACTTTAATAAACTGCTATGTTTATTAAAAAAAAAAGGGTTAATCCTAGCTGGACCTGGCACCCAGACCACTTCATGAAGCTGAAGTGGTCTGGGTGCCTAGAGTGGTCCTTTAAGCTGTAGTTGTTCTGGTGACTATAGTGTCCCTTTAAGCATTGAGAATTAACATTCAGTTTAAACTTCATAGACCGTTATCAGAAAGAATACTCAGAAGGCTAAACATTCATTTCCACCCTCTCTCATTACTTATTATAAAATATTTGTACAATATTCATTATATTCTATCTACTTTGCCTCATCAATAATTTTAAACCGGGACACATTTTGAAAATACAAAAATCAAATCAAAAGAACATGACCATATTTTGATAAATAATTTTATGCTAAAACAGTGGCTAGATCTGTTTCACCCTCACTTGTAAATGCTGCATAATGAAATATTCTCCAGATTCATGCCTAGCTATGTCTTGGGCCGATGCTGTGCCCCATTGCTATCGAATTTCTCTTCTTGCCTACTTTGTGAGGACAATATCCCTGTGAGATATAATTTAATATTCCGAAAGGTTATGTGCCGGTCAGCTGTAATTATTATAAATTTTTCGTATTTATATAGCTCAAGATATTACACAGCACTGTACTATTTAGGGGATACAAAGAAAAAAAACACAGCCATATCCGTACAAAAGCAACAAAGGATGTAAAATGTTCTTCCATTAATTACCCTTTGCTTATTGTGTGTACACTGCTCATTATGGATTTAGTTGTTGATTAATTTTACTTGGTCAGAAATATTGAACTAAATATGTAAATAAAAGTATTTTATTATTAGCAAGTCTCTTGTTCATTCCATAATAAGAATAATACATCGACTTCATTAAGTATTGTCACATAAAGCACTTTATCACATACTGCAATGTAGGCCAAAAATGTTTACTCTATAATTAATCTTAGGAACAATTATTATTACTTAACTAGGGCAGCTAATCTTGTAGAACAGAACAGTGTTAGCACTTCCAGCATGGAAACGAGATGCCCATAACAATGTTTTTCTCAAGACAGAAAGGTGACCTGTTTGGCTAAGGGAATAGCCTGATAAATTAATTGAAACACATCTCCTCGTCCTATGGCAGAATTAAAATGTGACTTTTTTTGCACTAGCCTCTGTATATTTAAGGTCTTGGTACAGGCCATCAGACTGGCAAGAAGTCTAGGTGATGGTGAGCAGTGGTCATCATGAGCAGCAGGCTATAAGGTTTACTCACTAAACAGTGAATTGTGATAAAACCAAATGGCTAATTTTTATGCAAAATAAAATAGTTGCATTGGAAAATTCTCCAATTCGACTACTTCTCAAATTCCAACTTCTGCTTGCTCCCCTTATTAAAGAAGCAAGTAAGATGTCTTCATGGGATGAGATGGGTTGAGAAGTGATTAGCTTTAATTAAAGGCTAAGTATGGTTAAAACATTTAAGGCCTTCTGGAAAATAACTTTTTTTCTTTCTGTGCTACATAATGTTTTATTATATTTGATTGCTCTGTATCACAAATTAATCTTATGGGGCAGAAGTTCCATTGTCCAGTTGCCTTTGTGAACCTCAATGGGGACATACTTCTAATGGTCCCGGATCCAATGGGATCATCCTGATTGAGTTCCTTCCCTGCCATCCCAGGTTAGTTCCTTGGAGTTCTGCATTGAAGGACACCATAGAACGGTCCCCAGCAACCGGAATGAGAGCACATTAATAGACATACTTGCACTCTGGTAAATGTCACGGCACTGGAACTTTTCAGCAGCACTCTTTGTGTGGTCTGCCCTGGGAGGGACTGGCCATGCCTCTTTTTTTGATGGTCTCGTCCATGGTCCAGATGGAATCCCCCATTTTTTTTTGCATTACCAGTGACAACTGGCATCGCTGACACACCCTAAGCTTATTTGCTAGCGAATTTAAGTGAATTCAAAAGTGCAAAGTTAAGGCTGTGATGGAGAGTTTTTCCAAGTTGGCTATTTTTACCTAAATTTTGCTGTTTGGTTTTTAGTTCAATGCAATTTAATTTTAAGTGAATAAACCACAAAGTGTTCCTGGAGAAAATACATCTGAGTGCAGTTCTTGTTCCCATTTTTTTGTTGTCTTTCATCTTTATATTTTAAGAAAGATTATGAACCATGTACTTGTACTTTTAAAATCTACGCAATTAGAATAATGAATAGACTGTTTGCTAACCCATATGAAGTGTGATTTATGGGCTACTGTGACCCTTAATATTCTTTTAAATGCCCTATTGGCAGGGGCGTTTTAGCCGCGAGGCAAACAAGGCATTTGCCTTGGGCGGCATTTTCCAGGGGGCGGCAAAAAACGCCGCCCCCCAAATGCCCAGGGCAAATGCCTAGTTAGCCTCGCGGCTAACAGACATGCCGAGCGGGCGGGCGGCTGGCGAGGGAGCACTTCCTCTGAGCTGACTGAGGCTTGGAGCCGGAATATGACGTCATCAACCCGGCTCCCAGCCTCACTCTGCGGCGTGCGAGGGAGCTGAGCAGTCAGCTCAGAGGAAGTGCTCCCTCGCCAGCCGCCCGCCTGCCCAGCAGCCACTGGACCACCAGGGGGGGTAAATAAAAAAAAAAAAGTGTTAATGTGAGTGAGTGTGTGTATATGTCTGGGAGTGTGTGTGTGTGTGTCTGCTAGTGTGTGTCTGCTAATGAGTGAGTGTGTGTCTGTTAGTGTGTGTCTGACTGTGTGTATGTGTGTGTCTGACTGTGTGTCAGTGAGTGTGCGTGTCTACTAGTGTGTGTGTGTCTGTTAGTGTGTGTCTGACTATGTGTGTGTCTGTTAGTGTGAGTGTGTTTGCCTGTGAGTGTGTGTGTCAGTGAGTGTGTGTCTGTTAATGTGTGTGTGTGTTTGTTAGTGTGTGTCTGACTGTGTGAGTGTGTGTGTGTCTGCTAGTGAGTGAGTGTGTCTGTTAGTGTGTGTGTCTGACTGTGTTTGTCTGTTAGTGTGTATGTGTGTGTCTGACTGTGTGTCAGTGAGTGTGTGTGTGTCTGCTAGTGAGTGCATGTTTGCCTGTGAGTGTGTGTGTGTCTGTTAGTGTGTGTGTGTGTGTCTGTTAGTGTGAGTGTGTTAATATTTGTTGGCGAGTGTATGCGTACCTGTCAGTTAATGTGTGTGTGTGTGTGTGTGTGTGTGTATTTAGAAGGCTTGGGGGACAGGGGGCTGGCGTGGGGGGGGGGGCGTCTGAGTTTTGTCCTGCCTAGGGCAGCACAAAACCAGGATACACCACTGCCTATTGGGCATTACTAATAAGTCACTTCCGTTGCAGAAGTTGCAAAAAAGACTTTACAGATCTCCCTCCTCCATCTTATGTCAGTAGGGGGTCTTGTGCAGCCTTGATTGGACCGTTTCACTGGCTCAGACTGCTTGTGCACAATCTGAGCCAGAGAGTAAGTGTGGACAGGGATGGAAAGAAAACTTAATTCAAAACTTAATGCAGGAAGGCTGAATACATGAAGGAAAGGAGGGTACATTCAGGCTTCTGCATGTATGATAATGACCACTTCACCATGATCACTTCAAAACACTGAAGTGGTCATGGTGGTTGGAATAACCCTTTAAGCAACATGATGATATTCATGCCTTTAAAGTTGTTTGCAAATGATAAATATAATTTCAGATTAATTTCTGGGAAGCCACCAGATGCATAATTAGAATTCACTCGAGGGTGGAGGTCAGAGCCCATTATTTTGGTGATTTATACATTGAACCTAAACGTGGGCAAAATTAACTAATCAAACGATAATAGCACCATGAATATCAGACTTTTTTTTTCTTCACAACCACTAACTCTACTGAGTGCAACAACTGAATGTGGCAGGATCTTTATCATCACAGTTCACAGACCTTGCAGAGTTTGTCTATGGAAGTGCGATGAGCAAAAACAAGCACAAGAGGAACTTGCAGTTGTCAACTTTCTCCACGCTGGTATATTTGTGTCAACGTGAAGACACTCTCAACTTACCATTGTAATACTTAGTACAACCAGTGAAATGACGGAGTTGCTCTGAACCTTGGTTATGTGACCATAACCTAATCATGGAGCAAGTGGTATGATTTATACACTCTACAACCTGTGATAGTCATCACAATCCTGGTAAGTTCCATGGCTGGAGTCAGGTGCAGACCTTCACCTGTTGCTCTACAAATACAATGAGATGGTAACTGGAGTGTGAGGGTCTGTGTACATTAATGGGATAAGTACGATACTGAAAATCAGCACCCAATTAACAGAGACCGTTCTATAAGTGACAATATATAATATCATCAGAATGGTTGGCAAAGTTTAGACCATTGTTGACAAATGGTCAACATACATCAAACTCAAATACTAGAATCAGTAAATTGTGACTATGGAGTTACATATTTTGTACATGTATTTCTGGACTACAATATTTAACTGATTGTAGGTACGTAGTTTCATAGGCTGAAAAAAACAAAAACTGGCGGCCATCAAATTCAGCCTCACATCTATTCACGTTGTAGTCCAGAAATTTCTAGTCATTTAAAACCAAAATGATGACTTACCATCTCTGTCTAGGGTCACATGCAGTATCATATGAGTTTCTATCTCAAACCAGACATACACATAAGTCAATGGCGAACCAAACATCTGTATATCAAACAATGCATTTATTGAACTATATAAAATCACTCATTTTGTACTTTGTATAAAGTAGTTGTATGGTTCAATTTTCTGCAGTATTCTGAGGAGATCCCAAGCCATAGAGATTCCAGAAGCTTGCAATAACCATAATTTAGCCTGGAAAACCAACTCAAGACATGTTCATGGTGGTAGCATCATTCTGTAACAGTCTCCTCTGAAGTTCCCAAAGAGCAGCATGTTGACTTGGCCTTACTCCTCAAGCTATTGTTCCTTAAGGTCCAGACGTTTCAGCAGCAAAGCCTAAGAACCTTGCGAAAGTAGTTCCTAAACTCAGTGTTGAAGATGGTGTAGATTACTGGGTTCAGAGCGCTATTAACATATCCCAACCATGTGACAATGCTGATGAGCGGTTCAGGAATGCTACATGACTCGCACACTGCTCGTGTGATGTGGACCACAAAAAACGGTGTCCAGCAAAAGAGAAATGCACCTAGAGGAGAAGAAGAGAAATCAGGAGATGAATGGTGAAATGCTAATAGTGACAGAGGTGGGATAAAAAGTTGAAAAGAAGGCACTGTGATAGTTGTTTCAAAACTATTAGAGAATTTTCTTAATTACCACCATGGTAATATTATACTGATGTTTTCAAACAATGGAGATTTATACATAAAACACACAACATAAAAGTTCTAAAACTGGTCCAAACAGAACAAAATCTTTTTGTTCCCATGTTTATTGCATCACTTTTTGAACATTCTGCTTAGGGCATTTTTAGTTTACCCCATCCTTATGTCGCACCTTATTACAAATCCCACCTCTAACTTCACGTAGAGCTAATATAAGATGGTGTCGAACCCCTAACTCTCTAGTATCTGCCTGCCCATGTTATGGAAAGGACAAGCAGGACAACTCACATTTTTATTTTCTATCCAGCAGTGATGGGAATATGGAGTAGCATTCTGGGGCTCTGCTAATGACTATCCACCATTATCTGTGGCCCTCTGTGGTCTCTTATTGCTCCATGCATTCCACCTCTGCCCAGCCAAGCCAGGTTCTTGAAATGGCATATACTGTACTGGGCTTATTGCCACCTTTTTCTATTCCTGCTTTCATCTCTCCATGAGACTTGACTCACTATAAATCCCCAGGTTTCCCCAATGACATCATCAGCATTTCTTCTTCCTAACCCTCCACTTGCATTATCTCCTTTGATGGGAGTGTAATTGTACAACGATTCAAGACCATTCAATCTCAACCTTCTGCACATCTGTGTCTGCTGATTATTTAAAACAAGAAGAAATATCTAATGTTCCATTGTGCCACCAAAAGGGAAAATCCTTCTTGACTACATAATGACAAATTTAATCAGATTTTTCCCTGAAACAACAAGCTGTTACTATACATATTAACTAATATATCCTTGAAATGTCTGTTTTCAAAAAAACCAAAAAAACACCAAGTCCCTTTTAATAATCTCCATATAATTTCTATATCATAAAATAACCTCTCTAAGCAAAGAAATCCACATATTTACTGTCCGTATTTTAAAGAGCAGCATACTCTGTTGCACGTGAAATCTCTTTTTCTTTAAAATCTCAATTTATGAGTTCTTGGCCTTTCCATCTGTCTTGTTAATGAATGATTTGTACTAACCATGCATATATTTTTATAGCGCAGTGGTTCTTATCCTGGAGTCGGGAACCACAATTGGGTTCCATGCTATTTTTGTGGTTTCTTAATGGCTGAAACAGGCATATCATATTTATCAGCGCTAAGACAACTTAATAATACATTTTGTTCTGCAGTAGTCCTACATTCAGTGGCGTTTTCTTTAACATTTGGAAGACTATAAAGAAGGTGTTTTTCAGAGTTTAGTTTTGTTAAATACCTCATTACAATGGTGCATGGGTCACTGACCGAATTTGCCAATTGAAGTGGCCAAGCAAATCTAATCTAATGACTCTCTGACTCTCAGAGCCACCAAGCCGTTATTATTTTCCTTGTTTTGGAATTTTGGTATTTGACCTTGCTTAGCTATTGACCTTGCTTTTATCTAGAATTACACTGTGTTCCCAAACCGGCCAAGTTGACCACGAGAATCCTATTCCTTGACAGTGGGCCAGATGACCGGCCAAGTTGACCACGAGAATCCTATTTCTTGACAGTGTACCAGATGACCGGCCAAGTTGACCATGAGAATACTATTCCTGGATAGTGTACCAGAACCTGGTTGTGTTTGTCTTTGTTATACGCCTGCTTTCATATGTATACTAGACATGGATAGTTCCTAACCTCAAGTTCCAGTGACCCTATACAAGTGTTTATTCAATATTTACTATTACGCTTAATTTCCTTGTTCTCCTCCTGGTCTGACATATTCATAGCCATAGTTCTATTATTTAACAGATCCTGCTTTGTGTCTCAGGTAATATGCCTAACTATCTTTCTTTACTTTACCTTTGTTAGGCTTGTTGCCTTGTATCTTGGTGAGGATCCGAACGTTCTGTGACAGTGTGTTAATGTGGGGACTATGTATGATGGGTGTTGTGTGTGGATATGTGACTGCATGTATGATTGGAGTTATATGTGTGATCGGGAGGTGGCTGCCTGTGTGTTTGTGTGATGGGAGTTGTGTGTAAATTATGCCAGTAATGAGGGCGTGTGTATGACAGCTGGTGGTATATGTAACTCCCATCACTCACACTTAGCTCTCAGCACACCAGTCCAACAGCTATAAAATCTCCAGCAAGCTTCTCATCCAAATTGGGTTGTGATACTTTTGCATAATGTACATTAAAAAGCAAGATGCAATTTTTTAGTTTACCACAACTTACAAACAACCCTCCCCACCTCCCCCCCAGCCTAATTAATTGTAAAGCATATGTTTGTTGTAGCTGTTAAAATACTGGAACTTAAACCTAAACATTTAGAGGGATAGTAAGGCAAAAAGATTGCCTGGGTGGTTTTTAATGCAACAGTACAAGATCTGAGATTCATAACAGGCTCAGTGTGGTTTAATACACGTATCTGTTAAAACGTAAACACAAAACATTGCAAAGCATTGGTTATCTCTTCCACATAGTTATACAACATTAGAATTTTAATACAGGGTGAAAAATGTATTCAGAAGAACAACTGAAAAATATAGTATACTTTTTATTTGGTAATTTCTTAACTTTTTTGGATAAATACAGAACTTTATTTTTTATTTATTTACTTTTCTGGGATGTGAAAAGCGTATTTATATCTTTTTTAAAGGTGAGGTCAGGTTGCTTAAATAGGCTGTTAGAAATACAAAGTCTACCTTTTTTTAAAATCCTAAAAACATATCTAAACTTTTTATTTTTTATTTTTTTTAAAACAATTAATTTCAGGTAGGGTATACGTAAACAAAAAAAATATTTTACTATTCCACAGGCATTTGCTCCTTACAACATCACAATAACAATTACAGTGTATTTTAGCCTGTCGTAAACAGCAAGTTTGGATACATGCTTTCTCGATACAGGAAGCATCCTATTTTCTTAGTCTGCCCATATTTCTTGGGTTCCTACGTGGGTGCACCCTCAGGGCACTATAGTGCCAGGAAAACGAGTATGTTTTCCTGGCACTATAGTGGTCCTTTAATGAACAGACCCCGCACAAACACATCACCCCCCCCTACTGAACAATAAAGGGCTTACAAAGATTCCATACAATAAACACAAAACATTGCAGCAGAACCGAGCCCAGACGATCATTTCGCCAGTTGTTCGTCAGGGCTTGGTTCTGAACTGGCTCAGCTACTTTATACTTATTGGTGACCTTATTTTATTTTATTCTAATTTGCCATTTTAACCTTTATTCTACACAATTTTTGCATTATATTTTTTCAGGGATTAGTAGCTAAAGTTAGACTTGCTGAATACTGCAAATTAGTTGCGATGCCCTCGAAGGTGAGGGAGAGGCTCATTAATTTTTCTTGGGAAGGAGTTTTCATTTCTCTGTTATCTTCTCAGCAACTTCACTGACAATATCCACCTTACCCTCTATGACAATTGCTACAATGCTTCTATTACTTATAAACTATGTAATGATGATAATATGTAATAATAAAGTGAGTTAGATTTTGGTTCTAATTTGCTGAACAAGCCTGATTTTGGTATAGCTTCTGACACATTTTCACCGGTTAGTGATTGCAATGAACGCACACCTTTTCATTATATAGATGTTGATGAATAGTATGGTATTAATTAATCGAACAGAAAGTTAAGTTTTACATAGCATTGCTAGCATGGAGGAACTAGACTCTGCTAAACCTTTTTTTAGTTGCTGCTTGGTGAGGCTACAAAAACTAGGGGATAACAAGTCTTCTGGTACTGGGAGCAGTAACAAGTCCACTGGTTTCACTAATCCCTTGCTTTGACCATAAAACACAAACTGTATCATGCTTCAACTAGCTGTAGTAAAATGAGCTGGTGGTTAACAATAAAAAAAATAAAAAAAACTTGCTAAAAGAGGTGTTTGTATCATCTGATAATCACTCAATTTGTTAATTACCGACATGCCATTTTGTTATGTTTTATTGTTTGACCAAAAATAAATATCTTAAGGTGTAATTAAAAAAAGAAACGCGTTAGGTATTTGAAATATTTTGTTTTGTTTGTCATTCTCCAGGGTCCAACCTTGATTGATCACAACTCTGACCTTTGGTTTAGAAGATGTAAAGACTTTCTAAGTCATAGGGTTCAAGTCCAGGTCAAGTCCCTAGTCATTGCTGTCAAAATCCAAGTCAAGTCACAAGTCTTCTTTGATTATGTTCAGTCAAGTCGCAAGTCATCAGATTTGTGACTTGAGTCCAAGTCAAGTCCGAGTCATGTGACTCAAGTGCACATTCCTGACCAGTCACTAGGAACAATAACCCAGGCTGTCTATCTCCCGCTAAAAGTTGGTGTTATTGGAACTGGCAGAAGCTAGACTGTCACAGCAGAAAACTGAGCCTACCCTATTTCACACTATGACAAAGACTATCTCCCACACCCATACAGGTAAAACCAGACATACTCTGTATGTTGGTCTGTCTCCCTCAATAGCTGCAGTCAAAGTGCTTGATCTAAATATATATGTATATATATTTCACTGCTCCTCCTTTTCTTTCTATTGGTCACTTGTCACTTGATTTGTGAATAAAAACAACATTCAGTGGCTGTTCCCTAACTATCAATCATCTATTTTCCTTCAACGCTTGATTGGACAGGAGATGCATCCAACATTATTGGTCTTTTGTCCATCAAGGCAAACAAAGCTGCTTGTTGACTTTCCCTTAACCCCTTAAGGACGCATGACATGTGTGACATGTCATGATTCCCTTTTATTCCAGAAGTTTGGTCCTTAAGGGGTTAAAAAAAATCAGCTTCCTTATTCCGTCCCCTTTTTAGCCATCACGGTCAGGGACCCCTAATCCCGAAGCATCTGAACATGTTTGGAAATCACCTAGTTGTTTGCTTGGTTTTATGACCACATGGTGCTTCAGAGATATGGACTTCAGTCAATGATGAAAACCAATAGTGTAGTATGTTTATGGTATATGGAGGACACAGCAGACCTATGTTAATTTCAACTTACATATGGTGGAGCTTCCAACCAACTCCAGATGTTTTACACTGCCCCCATTTTCCATGAGCTGAATTTGAAGATCTAAGACTTTTTCTATGTACACAATACACACTGTACACATTTCTCTCAAATATTGTTCTCAAATCTGTCTAAATCTGTGTTAGTGAGCACTTCTCCTTTGCCAAGATAATCCATCCACCTCACAGGTGTGGCATATCAAGATGCTGATCAGACAGCATGATTATTGCAATTATGATTATTTGAGAGAAATAGGCCTTTTGTGTACATGGGAAAAGTCTTAGATCTTTGAGTTGTGTTTATAAGTGTTGCGTTTATAATTTTGTTATGTACACTGTATATTATTATTTATTTCCTGGTAAATTATTTTGATGATGCTCCCACTTTAAAGGAAAAAGAATAAAATTGTATATCATTGTATATCATTGGGACCTCCACAAAGCGAGCATGACACGTCACACACACATGGCTCCCAAATGTCCTTTTTTGGAATGACAGTTCCAGTTTCAGTGGCCTGTCTCAACAATCCAGATTTAGGCCTCAATTTAATAGTTTGGGATTTCATTTTTAAATGACTTAATATATTTAAATAAAATGTTAAAAAAATTTAATATTTTGACATTGTTGTAAGTATTTGAATATTTTTATGTATATAATATATGATATCGTTTTGATATTTTAATATTCTGAAAAAAAAAATATTTAAATCCAAATCCAAAAATATAAAATAATTTAAAAAGCTTACCCAAAAATATTACATAAAGGCCTTAAATCCCTGATGTCCCGGGATATGGTCTGGGCAGCACATCATTAGATTAACTCTTCCTTTGCAGCCAGCACTAGGACCCACGCAGAGAATGCTTTAGCCATGCCCTGTGCATTGTCCTCTATTCTGAAGGCTGGCCGGGAGGATGTCTATCAGCCTAGTATTCTGGATAGCAGACTTACATGGCCCTTCAGTGGATGGGCATGCTCATTTCCAGGTGGTCCTGTCCATTATGGGTTTCAATAGTGACAGAAGCTCTACCCACCTATCCCGAGTCTGCACCTTGCAACGTTAGGAGGTATGTATGCTAAAAGCAGATGTGTTCTGCTTTGCATGCTGTAATTGACAGGTAAATAAAGCAAATAATCACTCATGTTGGGACCATGAGAGGGACACTTGAAGACATATTACGATTCTGTCCTATTCCATTTTCGGTAGATTTAGATTATTTGGTAAATTACGGCGCTAACAAAAAAAATAAATAAGATTTAGTGAAGATAAAATGTAAATCAGTAGATGAAGAAATGTATTCACATCTACTGTATTTACATCTACTTGTATTCAACAGATAGGCAGTCAGGTAGGTAATTAGGTAGCAGATATGTTTATTAACGCAAGGTTTCCTATTGGTGAAAACCCCAATATGAAAAAGGGGAACAGATCCTTCTGGACAACAATGTATCCTTGGATTACCAAGCTTTTTAAAAATAAAAAAAAAGTTTACAGCACATAATCTAATGTGATGTTAAAGTTAACCAGTATGAGACATTGATACAGTAGAGTACATTACAATCTATCATTAGTAGAGTACATTACAATCTATCATTTGATATTTATTGACATATTAATGGCTGCAGATGAAATATTAATGAGGTTGACGCAATCACAACCTTACATTTCCAATACTTTTCAATGTCACTTTTATCATTATCAGTTTGGTAAAATTTGCATTAAAGGGACACTCCTGGCACCCAGACCACTTCTGCCCATTGGAGTGGTCTGGGTGCCATCTTCCACTACTCTTTACCCTGCAAGTGTAATTATTGCAGTTTTTTATAATTACATTGCAGAGTTAACTCCACCTCTAGTGGCTGTCTCATAGACAGCCACTAGAGGGCACTTCCTTCTCCACAACACAGAAAACCTGTGTTAGAGAGCCGCTGGACGTCCTCACGCTGTGTGAGGACCTCCAGCGTCGCTCATTTCCCCATAGAAAAGCATTGAAAAGCATTTTCAATGCTTTGCTATGGGGAGCTCTAATGCTCATGCACGATATTGCCGCGCATGCGCATTAGGTCTCCCCGGCCGGTGTATGGGATCAGTCTCGTCCACCGGCTGACGCAATCACTGGGAGGAGCGGCGGTGGAGGAAGAAGCAGCAACGTGGGACATGTCGCTGCCTCTGGTAAGTAACTGAAGGGGTTTTCCTGGGGATTGTTTTCCTGGCACTGGAGTTTCCCTTTAAGCAGGGAAGCATAAAGTAAACTGTCGTATATTTTTATTATTGCATGCAAGGACTTACTGTGTTTTAATTTGTAATGAATACATACAAAATACAGTTTTTTCATTGTATCTCCTGGCTTTACATTGCTTTGATCAGAAGCACCACTTATTTGCTAATACTAGCCAGATCCATGTCTAAAACATTCCGATAGCACATTTTTTGAACACATCGGCATATCAGGATTCACAAACACACGCTAATGCTTGCTAATACTCAGATAAAACTTAAGATGGCAACCACGCAGATCAATGCTAAGTTAGGTAATACACTGAAAAAATATATTGATTATATTGATTCACATGTATGCATTACAAAATAATACACATATCAAAGGGCTCTGTTCTAAAAAATGGTGCAAAATGTACAGCGGGAGGAGTCGCCAATGGAATGTGCTTGCTGGTTTCATTAGTTTTTACTGTTCCACTTTTAGTACTTTAGACCACTTTTAGATCAACATACTTTGATAAATATTCCCCGACGAGTTCATAATAGACTAGAATAGAGTTTTGTTTTGGTCTGAACTGTAATTCATATTCATATTTGGGTCAGGGAAACCAGAAATCAGAATAGTTAGGAATAGCCAAGGTCAAAATGCCAGGAATATCAAAAACAGGGCAAGATTCTTGAGAACCAGGAACAGGAACCACGACAGGGCAATGAACCAGGGAACTTCAGGGATTTAAATATCCCTCCTTTGACTGTGATTGGTCAGAGGGTGAACTCTGACCCGAGAATGTGCGTGTGTGTCGACGTTGTGACGTCACATGCACGTCCGTGTGACCCTGGGGGGCGAAGCTATTTATGGCTGCGACCGCATGGTCGGCGCCATCTTTAATCTGGGCAGGCGGCCAGGAGAACCCGGAGGAGTGGCTTCCAACTCGCCGCTGGGCAGGTAAGCTCAGTCTGTCGCGTGGTCGCACCAGTCGGGGGCAACTGCACCTTGTGGCATACCCCACAACATTTCAAATTAACAAAGAGGGACACTTTAATTTTATGGGTATGGGTTGGGGTGTGGCCTGGGGTGGGACAGTACTGAGAAATGTTAAGTGTCTTATTAATAACAATGCATGCAACTAAAATGTAATTTAGAAGAACAATGTATGATTCCTAAACACAATTTGTGTAGTTTAAAGACACATTACTGGGAGTATTTTTGCTGTGGATTATACATTCAGACACATCAATAAATGTAGCTCCTAGGAAAGAGGGACAGAGGGATTTGGGCCCAATATATGGACACATGGGAGGCATGTTTACATGTTGCTCAGATTGACCATTATTGTTGGATCAACCATATTTTCTTGAACACATCACATACACATATTAATGGGCAGCACATGAAAACTGCTGCCATGTATAGTGTAGAGTACATGTTCTATACAAGTTATCATTAATTACTGAAAATTCTATCTGTATTATTTCAATTCTACATGTTACATATTACAGTGTCTCACTCTGTGTCCTGCACCTCAAACCCTTGGTTTTCCCATTTATCCCTCATCTCTTATCCATGTTATCTCCCTCTATTCCACCTGCTTTCCTTACATTCTTCTGTAGAGCAGGGATCGGCAACCTATGGCAGCCTCAGGGCCTTACCAGGCCTGATGCCTGCAGAATACTGGCCTGCTAGTGCATACATAAATATAATATGTATCTGGCATGAAACCTTGCCAACATCACCACTGCACCAGCCATGGAAGTGCCGCTTTTAGCCAGAGCTGTTGTTAGCATGCAATGCAGAGGACCCACTTAGAGCCCAACGTCATAGACGTCTACACTACAGAGTGAGCCACGATGGAACTATGTTTAGAACTAACATAAGCTCTATTTCTCATGGCTCACTCCCACCACGAGACAGCATGGGTGAAGCCCTTCTAGAATGTAAGTGGGACCTCATATGAAACTAGAAGAAAAGAATGTAGTGGGCAGTGACAATGATAGAAGATGAATTATGCTAAAATGGTGGCAATGAGAATGAGAGAAGAGGACACTACTATTAAATGGGTCAACACATTACCAGCAAAAGAAGGCAAGCAATGCTGAAGAGGAGGAATGCTGCTAGAGAAGGAGACTGAGATGGACAGAATATCACATGGAGAGAGGTGATATGTGTGAAAAGGGAACAGTAAATGGGGAAATGTGATATGGATGAAAAGAGAAAGGGGAGAAGAAAAGGGCTTTTCTCAACGTTGATCATTCAGCTGTTTAGTAAATAGCTCCCTAGTTAGGTATGCTTATGGCAATTACACATCAGGGTACCAAATTAGGTAGCCATCTACTAAATCTAGTATCTATATTTTGTAGCTATATAGATTAATGCAGCCCTCCATCCATTTACAGACATGGCATCAGGCTTGTTTGCGGAAAAGGTTTGCTGACCACTGCTGTAAAGCAGATCTTGCTGAGACAAGGCAGTCAGTAGCTTTGAGTATGGAGGGACAAGGATTGGATGATGTGAGATAATTCCCCCAAACTCCCCAAACACAGAGTTGACAGAAGAACTGGTCAGTGAGGCACTGACAGGGAGAGGCATCTTGAGAGCAATTGTGAGTTTGTTATGATTGCACTTCTTAGCGCTGGGGGACCCACAACTATTTCTACTGTTAACCTCTTGGTTGGCACTATCAGTTAATTAAAATGATGCTGGGCTGGATGGGAAGATTCTGACCTTGCCAGCTGGCCTATTACTGTAATAACATGGCTGGGCTCCTGACTGCCATAGGCAACCTGACCTGCTGGGGCCCTGGTGCTGTTACACCAGCTGCACCTCTGGTAGTTCTGCACCTTAAACCTTGCAGGCCATAAAATTTTACTGACTCCTTGCTAGTCAATTAAAGCAAATACTGATTACACAACAAATACACATGGACACTATGCCCATGTGTGTCCACCTCCTTCCCCAACCATCCCCCACCCGCTGGGTTTTTCAGCCTGTCCTGTATTTTTCTTTAGAGATTGATAATACACTGCAATACCAGGGCAGTGTGTGAAGAGAGGCAGGGATAGGAAGCTACATCTTATCCCTACTTCTCTCTCCTGACTGAATCCGCAGGGGAGCAGCACATGCAGCCTGCAACTCCCAGCCTGCAGAGACAGCCTACAGATCAGGTAATTGAGGGATGGGGGCAGCCTACAGATCAGGTAAGTGAGGAATGGGGGACAGCCTACAGATCAGGTAAATGAGGAATGGGGGACAGCCTACAGATCAGGTAAGTCAGGCATGTGGGGGGGGGCAACTTGCAGATAAGGTAAGTGAGAGATGGGGGCAGCCTACAGATTAGGTAAGTGAGGGATGGGGGCAGCCTACAGATTAGGTAAGTGAGGGGTGGGGTGGCAGCCTACAGATGGGGTAAGTGAGGGATGGGGGAGACAGCCTACAGGAAGGGTCAGCAAGGAGCAGGAAGGCAAAGTAAGAGAAGGAGCAGAAAGGAGACGGAGCAGAAATGAGCAGAAAGGGACATCAAGGGGCAGCAATGAGCTTGAAGGGGCAGCAAGGAGTAGGAAGGGGCAGCAAGGAGCAGGAAGGGTCTGCAAGGAGCACGAGGGGTCAACATGGGGAAGGAAGGGGCAGCAAGGAACATGAAGGGGCAGTCAAGCAAGGAGTGGCAAGGAAGGAAGGGGCAGCAAGGAACATGAAGGGGCAGCAAGGAGCAGGAAGGGTCAGCAAGGAGTAGTAAGGATCAGCAAGGAACTGGAAGGTAAAGCAACACAAAGGTAAAGTAGATGGAACAGAAAGGGGCAGCAAGGAGCTGAAAGGGCAGCAAGGAGCAGAAAGGGACAGAAGGAGCACAAAGGTAAAGTAGGAGAAGGAGAAGAAAGGAATAGAAATGAGCAGGAAGGGATATCAAAAAGCAGAAAGGGTCAGCAATGAGCTGGAATGGGCAGAAGGAGCACAAATGTAAAGTAGGATAAGGAGTAGAAATGAGCAGGAATGGTCAGCAAGGAGCAGGAAGGAGCAGCAAGAAGCAGGAATGGGCAGCAAGAAGGAGGAAGAAGCAGCAAGGAGCAGGTAGGGTTTGCAAGGAGAAGGAAGGTTCTGCAAGGAGCAGAAAGTGGCAGCAAGGAGCAGGAAGGGACAGAAGGAGCACAAAGGTAAAGGAGCAGAAAGAATCAGAAGGAGCACAAAGGTAAAGTAGGAGAAGGAGCAGAAAAGGATAGCAAAGAGCAGGAAGGGGCAAAAGGAGCGCAAAGGTAAAGTAGAAGAAGAAGCAGAAAGGAACAGGAAGGGACAGCAAGGAGCAGAAAGGGGCAGCAATGAGCACAAAGGTTAAGTAGGAGAAGGAGCAGAAAGGGTCTGCAAGAAGCAGAAAGGGATCAGAAAGAGAAAGGAGCAGAAGGCCGCAAAATAAGCAGAAAGTGGCAGAAAGGTCAAGGAGCCCGTGTCAGAAGAAAAAGAAGACTGTGTCAAATGAAGGAGAAGAAAAGGAGATTGGAGCAGAAAGGACAAGTGAAGTGATCCCTCCACTTCATTCTGGACACCACATCATAAGGCTTTGGTACCTGGGCCTGGCAGGGAAACTTTGGACCCTCTCATCTCGCCAGGTAAAAAACATATCAGTGTTAATGTGTTCACTTTTATTTACTGAGTGTCAGGAAGCACAGAGTGCCGCTGGGTAGGGGTTCCACTGATTAGCTAGAGCAGTCAGCTGGCTCTCTAAGCCAATCGGTAGCTCCCCATTCATAAAAAAGTTAAACATTTTCATGAAGCGACATTTTACTGAGCGGTGGGGCTTATCATGAGGCGGAGCTAATACCTACCCGAAGCCCCTGGTAACTGCTGCACAGGAAGAGGGAAGAAGGAAGGAGTCCCTTCTTCCCCAACAACAAACTGCATCTACTCCCCCTTCCAGCCATAATGGAAAGAGGTAAGTCTGTTTGTGTGTGTGTGTGTGTGTGTGTGACTGTGTCTGCGTGACTGTCTGCCTGCCTACCTGTGTGTGTGACAGTCTGTCTGTGTGACTGCCTGCCTACCTGTGTGTGTGTGTGTGTGACTGTCTGTCTGTGTGACTGCCTGCCTGTGTGTGTGTTTGTCTGTGTGACTGCCTCCCTGTGTGTGTGACTGTCTGCCTGTGTGTGTGTGTGTGTGTGTGTGTGACTTTCTGCCTGTGTGTGACAGTCTGCCTGTGTGTAATTGTCTGCCTGTATGTGTGACTTTCTGCCTGTGTGTATGACTGTCTGCCTCTTCACTCTTCCAATTGTGTGTGTCGCTGTAGCTGTGCCATTGTGTGTGCCTGTGCCTGTATGTGTGACTATCTGCCTTTAACTGAGTGTGCGTCTGCCTATCAGCATGTGAGTGTCTGCATGCCTGTAACTGAGTGTGTATGACTGTCTGCTTGTAATAGAGTATGTGTGAATGTCTGCTTGTGACTGTGTGTGACTGTCTGCCTGTAACTGTGTGTGTGACTGTGTGCCTGTAACTGTGTGTGATTGTCTGTCTTTAACTGTGTGTTTGGCTCTGTGACTGTCTGCCTGTAACTGAGCATGTGTGACTGTCTGCCTGGAACTGTGTGTGTGTGTGTGTGTGTGTGTGTGTGTGTGTAAGACTGTCTGCCTGTAAATGAGCGTGTCTGACTGTCTGCTTGTAACTGTTTGTGAGACTGTCTGCCTGTGCCTGTGTGTGTGACTGTATACAGGCAACTTGGTGTGGGGGTGCCGTGAAGACTTTTCGCACAGGGCGCCTAAAGGCCTAAGGCCGGCCCTGTCACTGAGCGATCTGGAGATCTGGAGCTGGAGGAAGCTTTTGGGGTTAAACCATTTGGGAGCAGTTAAACCCCTTAAAGAAAATGCATCATAACATTTTCATTTAGATGAAGTTGTTATGGTGACCAGAATGTTCCATTAATTTTCTTAAAGGAACACTATAGTGTCAGGAATACAAACATGTATTCCTGACACCATAGTTGTGAAAATGCTATTCACCCTGGCTTTAGGTGATAATGACTATGCCCCTCCCCTTCATGACACTGTCAAAAAGGGACCAAGCGTGGATGTCATTACAATTATGTCCCCCTCTGGAAAAATTCCTGTGGACGCCCATGATTTGAATCACTTTTAGGTTTATCTAATTGGAACCAAAATGTTTCTTTTCAAGTCTTTTAAGTACAGCTTTTATCATATCTCTGCTTCTTCTGCTGGCCCACAAGAAAAAAAAAAAACCATCAATTTGAAGTGTGTTCCAGTCTTACCCAGATATAGAGCTTTCTCAATTTGTGCTAATAGTTGAGCGTTATCCTATCAATATTTTAAGGTTTGTAACACATTTTTATAAATCAAATATTGCCTTTATATTCTCCCAAACAGATTTCTACAGATTTCACTCATATAATCGTATCATATATACTATTTTATTTTATTCAATTTTATTTTAACTTCAGAAGCGCTAGTGGAAGTAAAAGAATGAGGATTTGCTTACTGTGATTGAGCAGAAAGTCAGAAAATGGTATTGAATGTTCACAAGAGAACTTCAAATTTTAAGCCAAATTAACTGAATTAAAGGGACACTATAGTCACCAGAACATCTACAGCTTATTGAATTTGTTCTGGTGAGTAGAATCATTACCTTCAGGCTTTTTGCTGTAAACACTGTCTTTTCAGAGAAAAGGTAGTGTTTACATTACAGCATAGTGATAACTTCACTGGCCACTCATCAGATGGCTGTTAGAGATCCTTCCTGGGTCATGGCTGCTTACAATGCATCCAAACATTCACTATCTCCTCCCTCTGCATGCAGAAACTGAACTTTCCTCATAGAGATGAATTGATTCAATTCATCTCTATGAGGAGATGCTGATTGGCCAGGGCTGTGTTTGAATCATGTTGGCACCATAGGCGTGCGCACGGGGTGTGCCGGGTGTGCCTGGGCACACCCTAATCCCCGTGGCACGCCTATGGTTTGAGTCCTGCAGGAACAGCGTTCCTGCAGGCACTCAGTGCCCCCTGTTTCACCTCTTGCCCCTGTCATGGGAGGGCAAGAGGTGATGATTCCACCCACCCTGCAGTTCATATTCCGGCTCCCAGCTGCAGCAGACAGCCCGCGCGGCGAGAGGGAGCAGACAGCAGAGAGCTCCCTCACCGCGGCTGAACTGCGGAAAGGCGCCCGCCCCCACTGGACCCCAGGGAAAAGTCCACCAGCACTCCAGGTAGGAGGCTGGGTGGACATTTTTTTAAAAAATTAAAATATAATAATTTGTGTGTGTGTGTGTCAGTGTGTCTGTGAGTGTGTGAGTATGTGTCAGTGTGAGTGTGTGAGTGTGTGTCTGTGAGTGTGTGAGTATGTGTCAGTGTGAGTGTGTGAGTATGTGTCAGTGTGTCAGTGTGTGTTTCTGTGAGTGTGTGAGTATGTGTCAGTTGAGTGTGTGAGTGTGTGTTTCTGTGAGTGTGTGAGTATGTGTCAGTGTGAGTGTGTGTCTGTGAGTATGTGTCAGTGTGTGTTTCTGTGAGTGTGTGAGTATGTGTCAGTGTGTCTGAGTGTGTGAGTATGTGTCAGTGTGTGTGTGTCTGTGAGTGTGTGAGTATGTGTCAGTGTGAGTGTGTGTGTGTGTGTGTGTGTCAGTGTGTGAGTGTGTGTGTGTCTGTGAGTGTATGAGTGTCTGTGAGTGTGTGTGTGTCTGTCTGTGAGTGTGTGTGTGTCTGTGTTCGTGTGTCTGTGAGTGTGTGTGTGTCTGTGAGAGTGTGTGTGTGTGTATATATATATATATATATATATACACACACACGCCAGCAGCGTGTGTTTGTGCTTTAGGGTGCACACCCCACGTGCAATAGGCTCGACGCCTATGGTTGGCACTGCCCTGATCTGCCTCTTTGTCAGTCTCAGTCAATCCTATGGGGAAGCACTGTGATTGATCAGGCTACCACTTGATGATGTCAGCAGACTGCTTGTTTTTTTAGGCAAACAGCATGCAGAGTTACAGCTTCTGGCGAATACAGTAAGATTTTGCTATATTTATGGAGGTATGAGGGGCCCAGGGGGCTAGATGGTGGTTTAACTCTATAGGTCAGGAATACATGTTTGTGTTCTTGACCCTATAGTGATCCTTTAATAACAGCGAAGTTGATATTGTGGCCTATAATTCCCTACAATTAGTTTGTTACTTCTCTACAGTTTTTAGTTCTGTGAAAAGTAGAAGAAATTAGTACTTTAATTTCTCAGAGAGGACAATCAATGTAAGCAACTCATCAGTAATCAATAAGAAAAAAATCTCAACTTTCTCATATATTATTATATTAAAATATAATAACAAAGTATGTAAAAAAAACAGTCATCAAGCAAATCTTAGGCTCACGGAAATAGAGAGACCCAGTCAATCTACGAGTTTCATATAATTACAATTATTTTTCAAGTGTGTGAGTTTGCATTAAAGGACCACTACAGGGAGTGCAGAATTATTAGGCAAATGAGTATTTTGACCACATCATCCTCTTTATGCATGTTGTCTTACTCCAAGCTGTATAGGCTCGAAAGCCTACTACCAATTAAGCATATTAGGTGATGTGCATCTATGTAATGAGAAGGGGTGTGGTCTAATGACATCAACACCCTATATCAGGTGTGCATAATTATTAGGCAACTTCCTTTCCTTTGGCAAAATGGGTCAAAGAAGGACTTGACAGGCTCAGAAAAGTCAAAAATAGTGAGATATCTTGCAGAGGGATGCAGCACTCTTAAAATTGCAAAGCTTCTGAAGCGTGATCATTGAACAATCAAGCGTTTCATTAAAAATAGTCAACAGGGTCGCAAGAAGCGTGTGGAAAAACCAAGGCACAAAATAACTGCCCATGAACTGAGAAAAGTCAAGCGTGCAGCTGCCGCGATGCCACTTGCCACCAGTTTGGCCATATTTCAGAGCTGCAACATCACTGGAGTGCCCAAAAGCACAAGGTGTGCAATACTCAGAGACATGGCCAAGGTAAGAAAGGCTGAAAGACGACCACCACTGAACAAGACACACAAGCTGAAACGTCAAGACTGGGCCAAGAAATATCTCAAGACTGATTTTTCTAAGGTTTTATGGACTGATGAAATGAGAGTGAGTCTTGATGGGCCAGATGGATGGGCCCGTGGCTGGATTGGTAAAGGGCAGAGAGCTCCAGTCCGACTCAGGCGCCAGCAAGGTGGAGGTGGAGTACTGGTTTGGGCTGGTATCATCAAAGATGAGCTTGTGGGGCCTTTTCGGGTTGAGGATGGAGTCAAGCTCAACTCCCAGTCCTACTACCAGTTCCTGGAAGACACCTTCTTCAAGCAGTGGTACAGGAAGAAGTCTGCATCCTTCAAGAAAAACATGATTTTCATGCAGGACAATGCTCCATCACACGCGTCCAAGTACTCCACAGCGTGGCTGGCAAGAAAGGGTATAAAAGAAGAAAATCTAATGACATGGCCTCCTTGTTCACCTGATCTGAACCCCATTGAGAACCTGTGGTCCATCATCAAATGTGAGATTTACAAGGAGGGAAAACAGTACACCTCTCTGAACAGTGTCTGGGAGGCTGTGGTTGCTGCTGCACGCAATGTTGATGGTGAACAGATCAAAACACTGACAGAATCCATGGATGGCAGGCTTTTGAGTGTCCTTGCAAAGAAAGGTGGCTATATTGGTCACTGATTTGTTTTTGTTTTGTTTTTGAATGTCAGAAATGTATATTTGTGAATGTTGAGATGTTATATTGGTTTCACTGGTAATAATAAATAATTGAAATGGGTATATATTTGTTTTTTGTTAAGTTGCCTAATAATTATGCACAGTAATAGTCACCTGCACACACAGATATCCCCCTAACATAGCTAAAACTAAAAACAAACTAAAAACTACTTCCAAAAATATTCAGCTTTGATATTAATGAGTTTTTTGGGTTCATTGAGAACATGGTTGTTGTTCAATAATAAAATTAATCCTCAAAAATACAACTTGCCTAATAATTCTGCACTCCCTGTATAGTGCCAGGAAAACATATTCGTTTTCCTGGCACTATAGTGCCCTGAGGGTGCCCCCACCCTCAGGGACCCCCTCCCGCCCGGCTCTGGAAAGGGGAAAGGATTAAAACTTACCTTTTTCCAGCGCTGGGCGGGGAGCTCTCCTCCTCCTCTCCTCCTCCGATCCGCCCCGTCGGCTGAATGCGCATGCGCAGCAAGAGCTGCGCGCGCATTCAGCCGGTCGCATAGGAAAGCATTCATAATGCTTTCCTATGGATGCTTGCGTCCCTCTCACTGTGATTTTCACAGTGAGAAACACGTAAGCGCCTCTAGTGGCTGTCAATGAGACAGCCGCTAGAGGCTTTGGGGGAAAGCTTAACCCATTGATAAACATAGCAGTTTCTCTGAAACTGCTATGTTTATAAAACAATGGGTTAACCCTAACTGGACCTGGCACCCAGACCACTTCATTAAGCTGAAGTGGTCTGGGTGCCTAGAGTGGTCCTTTAAGTGTATCTGTATAAGAAGTCAAAAAAAAAATTACCAGAAATTGGTGGTAAATTGACTATAGGGAGAACAGATAATGTATTAAGAGCTGGATAAAAATTATTAAAGGAAACTCATTACTTGGCTTCTACGTTGAAAATGAGACATGAGCCTAACAAAGAAATTAATCTGAATTAAAAGTGTTCAAACTGGGTTGGTCCCAGAAAATGTACCGACTGGTTTTGTTCCGATATTTTTTATCAAAATTCAACTGGATTTAATGCCAGCTAAAATGTTAGCAGCCCAACCCAATAAACTGGACAGCTACTGGAGAAGCATCCTCCAGTAAAAATTATTCTGAAGCATATTTACCATCCTTTTTTATTGACTACACCGGTCATTGAAAATAAATTTTAAAAAAAGCCTGTGGGGTCAAAATGACCCCACATTAGTACAAGGGAAGTTTTACACATCTCCCATTGCCACACTTGACCAGCCCTGAGTGGGGGTATGTCCAGCAACCAGAGTCACTATTAACTTACGGGGAAGATTTATGTAAATTCCAATGCAAATCTTGTCTATCTGTCAGGATTCCTCCCTATTTTCTCGGAATTCCTCTATGTTTGATTTCAGCCAGATCGGCACTACCGATATGACTACAGGGTTTCGCCAATATTTCTCCGCGTCATACGTCTGACGTCACACGCTTTTCTTCAAAAGGAAGCCATGACCGCATCCAAATCAATCAATGTTTCCTGTATTTGATACTCTCGCATACTTGCTACCTTGTTGCCTATTTACTGACGGAGCTTCTAATTATTTTCCTGTGTAACGAACCTCTTGGCTTGATCCTGACTACGCCCTACTCTCGACTCCCTGACTTGGAACAAGACTTCATTTTTGATTCCTGCCTTTCTTCACATACCTCAAGGAACCATAATCCACTCTATCTTGGAAGGACTCTCATGCATATCACTCAATGCAAGATAAATTCTCCTCCTATTGGGATTAACAATAGGTTCTTTACTGAAGTTATTTGGAAAAGATAAGGAATTACTAACTCTGCTTCTGGGATACCATTTTTATATTCTAATTGAAAGTCTCATAAGCCAATTACTCACTCTTAAATTGTCCTATTCATTATTATTTGTAGTCTAAAGGACTATAACCACTGTAAAAAATAGGATATACCTAAGTACTAGATTTTGTTGTCTTTTTCCAAAAGACTGTATTATTTCATACAACAGGAATCAACTCACCTGCTCTGTTAAACGTAATATTGAAGTCTTTGGACTGTATTGCTAATCAAACGTTTCCTTATTTTTTATATGCTGTATTCTTGTGATGAAATTTTGAAACAAAATTTCAAACATTCATGAATTATTATTTCAAAACCTTATTCCTGCAGAAGTCTGCCAACATTAAATTCCTTTATTTAAATAAATTATATTTTCTTAAAGTGACAGCTTCAAATTTATTCGTTCACCTGCAGTTGAGTTCCAAATACATTTTTCCCGAGTAGTATTACACTAGTAGTATCAGAGCACTTTAATTGGTTAGTTTACAAGCCAAACCAACCGAAGCACTCTGATTGAGAATGCACAGCATGGGGAAGCAAGTGACTTTTTTGGCCATGCAAGCTCAGTCTGCATGGAGCCACTGATGAGCCAACATAGATGCCCAGTCACCATTATTTTATGACTAGCATTACAGCGTGATTAGTAGGAAAACTACCCCATTCTTGTAAATCACTGTTTAGAGAATTAACCCTATGGTTTTTTACTTTTTTGATTTTTTTTTCCCCCACAAAGCATGCAGAGTTTTTTGTATATAAGGAAACTAGGTCAGTGATAATAACGATTCAGTCTTATACTATTTCTGGATAATTTCGAATAATTTGTGGATAATTTTGAGTCCACAAAACCCCACAATAATTTTATTTGTGTACAGGGTACAAACTACTAATCAGTCGGCAATTTGTGTACTTTAAGTCTCCATGGGGAGAGAATTGCAATATAGAGTATTTTTAATTATAATATAAATAAATTATCTTCATCCACATGTTGCCAAAAAAAAAAAATAATAAAAAAAATTAATCATTCTTAAAAGGAATTGCTCTGCAAATGTCTGTCGTTTTGTCACTTTTCCAGGCAACGAGTCCTTTCTGTGTCATCAAGAGGTGGAGTTGATCACCTCTTTTAACCTACAGAGGGGATTTTCACTGCATGGAACACGTGGGCAATTGGTTCAGTAAAAATCCTATGAGAAGTTGTTCTCAATATAAAGGGAGGGGGACAGCGTAATTCATTTACAGGAGGCCATCTGCAAACAGTTGTTCAATGTTACAAGGTCTTTACCCTTCATAGCCATCTGGAAGTGTATCTGCTTCCGATCATGAAACATCCATCATTCGCACAGCTTATTTATGTCAAGTGCTGGTGCATTAACTTTGCAGTTACCAATGTTTATTATAGCGTAGAACACTATTAAGGGATACAGCTGGAATCTAGTAGAAAAAATATGCAACATAGTGTAATACAGTAAAACTCTGCAATTTCAATGCTGGGAATTATTGCACTCACTGAAGACTGCTGTGTTTCATTGTATAAAGTTAGCTCCACCGATCTTTGGGGGGGGGGGGGCTGGTATAAATAACACACCCACATGCTCAAATGCTGCCTCTGGAGGGCTCACCTCCATACAGCTTCCAAACAGGAGCTCCAACAATAAAAATGTGTAGCAAAAATATATTTATTGAAAATAAATGCTAAAGTCAAGTAGGAATAAAATAACATTTGCAAAACTTAAAAATACAAATAAAAGCACATACAGTTTTAAAATCCTGTATTTACTTCTATTTGTATTTTTAAATTTGTAAATCATTTCCAACGTTTAATTGCCCAGTTTTACTATGTATGTATTTTTTTCCTACTAAATTTCAGCTGTATCCTCTAACAGTGCAGACTCATTTGAGCAATGTTGTCATCCCCCTCTGTTCCTGTGTGTCCAACTCGTCTGGTTAGAAATACCTGTCTGTTAGTACACCCATTGTACAGTGCTATAGAATTTGTGTTATAAAAAATATAATAATATTATGCTATAATGTTTATCAGGGGAAACTGGGGTCCTAGCTATCACATATTTCCTGAAACCTTGACCAACATAAGTGGAGTATTATCAGATTGGTGGTGAGTAACATTGTACACAACCATTGTTTATTGGTTTCTCATATAATGTTTCTGTCAGCATTATAGGAACGAACCTAAAACACCCATACTCTCATGCTTAACTTGGCTACGAGCATTGAGCCAATTCATTGGTTTGTTTGTTTGCTAGCAGGTCGACCAAGCTGAAAGAGGTCAAGGCTCAACAATTCATATCAGGAAGATCTTGTTAAATATTCCGGCTTAGTAACAATTAAACATGGCATGAGCATGAATCACTGCTCAGCCGCTGTGGCTATCTCCAGTATTAATTTAGAACTCACCTAAATCAACTTAAAATTTTATTTAATAAACCCTAAAAATATATTGAGGAACCCTCTCAGGTAACAAAAACATCTTTAATTTTAATCTACTAAAATATTAGAACAGTTAAACCTAATTTAATGTCTTGAGAAGACCCAGCAGGCTAAACTAATTTTGTACATTTGTTCATCAATATTCTAAGTGAAGGGGACACCCATGGAGAGACTGAAGTTGGGGAGGGACTTTGTCTCTGAACTGGCTCTGCTGACTACTCTATGAGTCTGATATAACTCAATTTCAGACCAGCAATAAATGCAACTGTGTTCCTATATTATAACTACAAAGGAGTACACCTCACAATTATCTGATGACGACCTACATTTAGTCTCATGTACTGAAGTTTGGAGGATCACCAATTGCATGCACTGTTGAGAAGGACCTTTGCCTTGCACCATGACCAGCAGCATTTTGATTGGGCTTGCATAACCTATGCCTCAGTGCTTTGTGAGGGCCTGGAGTGGTGCACCTTTTATGCTGTGAGCCCTGCTGGATTAGGAGCATCTTGTTGAGTAGTCTCGTGAAGTACTTTAGAATTTTGTGGAGTAGTTGCCATATAGCGGATTATGGACCAAACTTGTTATATAGAGCCAGAAGCTGTAGGGGTAATGGCTACCCGATGGGAGTACTCTGATGGTGCTGCCAGTGAAGGGCGAGCTGTAGATTCCTAACCAGGTAGAACTGTGGGCAACTAATCCATCAATGGACATCTATCGTCTGGGACTTGAACGAGAGTCCTGACTTATGATTCCTTTTTGTTGCAGACAATGAGGGGCAGCAATGCCCATTTTTGCCCTGAGTCCATATGGTGGCTTCTCTTTCACCCTGCTCTCTTCGGGGTCCTCTCATTCTCTCTTTTCACTTATACTTTCTCCTGTTTGATAATCTCTTCCTTCAGCTAACTCTATGACCAAATGATCTATGTTTTAAACATAAACTCAACTCTAAACACAGTTATATATTGAATAGGGTTTACAAAGGTACAGTTATACCAAGATTCCCCAATCTTTCCTTATTTTTGCATGTTTTATCGTGTAATAATTTTTAGATGTTTCCTGTCACATTAAGCTTACTAAAAGTTGTGATCGTTCATGTAAATAGCTGATAGAATATTTCACCACGCAGGTGCCAGTCTCCTGTTTAGCTCTTCTTGGCACCTTTTTTATTCTATATTATTTAAGATTACTAACAAACATTTTAGATGATTTAGCATGTATACTAATGCATTTGGTGACATATCTCAAAGCAAAACCTTCATTCTTGGCCTTAGCTCGTCTCATTCCGAGATGTCACTTGACAGGACCGTTGTCCTTTTGCTGATTACCCCTGTAACTGAATTGATTTATTGCATTGACATAAGGATTCATGGCAAATCTTTCTTGGTTCTATTATCATTTGTGTTTTATTGCTCATGTTACTTGGGTGCTTAATGCACTCTACTGCAATGCACTATAACGGATGCCCCATTACTGCCATATTGTTCTAGATTTCCAGACTGAATTTCAGTGTAAAGCAACCTTGTATCCATGTCATTCTTGAACTGCTGAATTGGTGCGTTATATAAGCTCTTTATTTCTGTACCCTGTTTGCATACTTTGAAAATCAATAAAACTTGATTTGCAATAATTAAATGGCATTTCACTTGTATAAATGCTATTCCTAGAGAGACCAGGCAGAGGGTTTCAGTAGGCAAGCTACACCAGTAAACCAAACCCTTCCAGTGCCGCAGTGAAGAGCAGATGTGCTGCTCTCCCTTGTGACACTGACAATGATAGTAACATAAGCTCTACATGCTGAGCTTGTAATTTTAATGCCCAGCATGAGATAAGTGAGACTTGATACATTAACTCACCTCAACCCACTATGGTCTCCAACCTCTAACTAAACCCTCACATCATTCCACACTGGGGCAGACCATTCCACACTGTGCCAGACCATTCAACACTGGGACAGACCATTCCACACTGAGCCAGACCATTCCGTAAAGAGTCAGACCATTCCACACTAAGCCAGACCAATCTACACTGAGCCAGACCATTCCACACCAAGCCAGTACATTCCACATTGAGCTAGACCATTCCTCACTGTGCCAGACCATTCTACACTGAGCCAGACAATTCCACATTGAGCCAGACCATTCTACACTGAGCCAGACCATTCCACATTGAGCCAGACCAAAGGCATGATAGACATCACCATGTGCACAGGTGTCAAATGTCTGTTTATGTCTATGCAGGCTGCAGTACACTGTGTCTTCCACCAAATTTAGTCACTGATTGTCTGTATAGGAATTCCATTAAAATATTTGGTCCCAGAACATGTAGCGATGTGTTACTATGGTATGGACTGGATACTCCAGCCACTAACTACATTACTTGTAAGGATCAATCCCAATTCAAGACTTGTTAAATGTGAGCCCAAAAGAGTTTATGGAATTTCTCCATTCAGAAATACAGGTATATATGTGCCTTCTCTTTAGGTCTGCTGATCTCTTCTCACCTTTTTCAGTATCCTACTAACTCTTGACTGCAGATGCACCTGCACCACACATTCCCATATAATTTTATCACCCCACCATTCCATCCAAAATAATGAGAAGACCATTGTTCATTTGGATAGGGCTACGGCCACAGCTTTATTAACAAAATACTAAAGCCAGCAAAATGTAAACAAACAGACTGTCAGCTGCTGGGGTTAGTTTCCAGCAGCCCACTAACTTATGAATGAACTAAGACTCGAGCAGTTTGCCTTCTGCCATCAGCCGCAGCAAACCACTCGCTCCCCCAAGGCCGGATTTGGCATGTCTTTACTTTTCTTTTACACTGCAGTGCTGGCCAGGTAGCTCCATCACCTCAATGGTGATCCTGCTTAGGTAAGATCGTCATTGCAACCACTCCCCTGCCGCCAGTGCTAATTCTATTCCAAATTGCAATCCCAAGTTAAATATATCCAACCCTATTACATTAAAGTGAAATGCGTCCTTCCTCATAAGATCAGAGTTATCCCCTTTTAACTCCTTGTAACGCATCGAGTAACCTCCAATACATCCCATAAAACACAATAGTCAAATAAAGCTTCACAGGCTTTGCTCAAGCAACTTAGCTGTTATGTCTGAAGCCAACACCGGCCTAGGCATAACTTCTGACCAACCAGAGTCACCTGTTTGAACAAAGCAAGATGAGCCATGTCATATTGCGTGTGTCAAAACAATTGTTTGCTCATGACCCAGGTCGTTGCCACCTGCATGAACATTGAGAACCAAAAGAGACTGAAAAACATTTACTTTAACAAACATATTCTGAGTATACCAAGCCCATTGCAACCTCTGGACACCCCTCCACCGAACCCTAACTGCCTCCTTTGAAAAAGCAAGGTTAGGACCATAAGAACATTCCTCTGCCAGATAGATTTAAAAAATGCTCAATAATAAAGCCATAAGTCAACCTGCCGAGGTGCTTAGTAGATAAAAGAGTGCCCGATAATCAAGCCGTAAGTCCAACCGACGAGCTGCCCAGTACATATAACACTGCCTGAGAATCTGAGAACCTCAACAAGTGAGCCTGTGTTACTGCACCAATACGAAATGAGTGGGAGGAAATAAACAAGAATCCAAACCCAATCAAAGCAAACACAACTTAAAAATTTTGAAAACTGATATCTGGACAATGAAGACCTATCCAAATGACACAGTAAGGGACCTTTACCCACCGGACAGACTTGCAAATAACTCTGCATCAAAGTAACAGGACAGTACAGTTAAAAACACCATCTAGCCCTCTGGCCCTCCTAAATATAGTAAAATCTTACCTTGATTCTCCTGGGAACCGAGGAAAGAAATTGTCTTCCAATTTCTTTTTTATGATCTTCCCATCATTCCAGTCTGTCACATGACATATCACTGGAAAGCTCGGGATGTCCTCTTTACAATACAGAGGACACAAGTTAATGGGCTCGGTCTCAGGAGGATATTACAGTCTGCTGGTGCTGTCCCTGATCTGCCTCCTTGGCTGACATCATCAGAAGTGATGATCTCAGCTTATCACAATGCTTTCCCATAGGAAAACATTGGATTGGCTGAGATTGACAAAGAGGCGGGCCAGGGTGCCGAGGTAAATTCCATCCTGGCCAATAAGCATCTCCTCATAGAGATGCATTAAATCAGTGCATTTCTATGACATAAGTTCAGTGTCTGCATGCAGAGGATGGAGACACAGAATGGCAGTTACACTATGCAGCACTGCCCAGGAGGCACCTCTAGCAGCAATCTGAGAAGTGGCCAGTGGAGTTATTCCTAGGCTGTAATGTAAACACTGCATTTTCTCTGAAAAGACAGTGTTTACTGCAAAAAGCCTGAAGGGACCGAATATACTCATCAGAACAAATATAATGAGCTGTAGTTGTTCTGGTGACTATAGTGTCCCTTTAACCCCTTAAGGACACATGACATGTGTGACATGTCATGATTCCCTTTTATTTAAGAAGTTTGGTCCTTAAGGGGTTAAATTAGTTTGGAATCACTTTTTTTCACCCACAATATGTGAAATAGAGACACATTGAGAGTACAGTAATGACAAAAAATAAACACAATTTGGAGGAGTGTGACATTTGTTTTTTTTGTGTGTTTGTGTGTGTTTCTGGTAGACGTGGCTACATAAACCCTACTTTTTCACACACACCTTTTCTTGCCCATCTCTCCCTTTTGCAACCCCCCCCCCTTATCAATAAATGCTGAAATTTAGTCATTGTTTATTATGATATTATTGGTGCTTACACATTACAATGCATTTGTACTACAATGCACACAATCCTTTGCCAATTTTAATCCCAAGTATCAGGGAAATAAACTAGTTCCGTTTCAGGAGGGAAAGGTCATTCACAAAATATTCTGTGTCCTGAGTACTTCTCCAGCTGTCTTCAATATGTTTATCCTCTTTCTATGATTTTTTTTTAAATCCATGTTAATGGGGATTATTCACTGACAGACTCAGAAAAATAATTTGCTATAGTAACAGGATTAATGCAGATCATAAAACTGCAATGATAAGCTATATAGAGTACTAGGAGGATTGATAAGCAAAGGCTAATTGATTAATGAGGAGCTATAGACAATAAAAGAAAGGATACAGGGAACAGTCATATGGAGAATTGTGAAGAAGTATAACAAATATATTGTTCTCATACTGAGAAATGTTAAGAATAGTGATGTCCCTAACTGTTCGCCGAACGGTTCGCCACGAATGGTTCGCCACCGACTCCAGTCAGCAGACACATTCCAGCCAATCAGCAGCAGACCCTCCCTCCGAGACCCTCCCACCTCAGCTCACTAAGAATGCAGCTTCAAAATGGATGCTGTCCAGGAGGTGGGAAGGTCTGGGAGGGAGGGTCTGCTGCTGATTGGCTGGAATGTGTCTGCTGACTGGAGTCCGTGGTGAACCGTTCGTGGCGAATCGTGGCGAACCGTTCATGAACCGTTCGGCGAACAGTTCGGGACATCACTAGTTAAGAACGATAAAGAATTATAGGTGGGCTTACAATTAGATGGTATACCAGAAAAAGATGTAGGAAACAGTTACATAGAGCAAAAGGACAAGTTAAACCGTGTTTATACATCGCAAGGAGTTATATTAAAAGGTTATATAGAGCAATATGATAGATTATGGATAAAGGTTGCGCTACGCCGCTATGGGTGGAGTTTATTTGAAGGAACAGAATGGAATATAGATGTAGGTTATACAGAGCAATATGATGCAAGATTATTTATTGGAGCACAATGGAATATGAGTAGGAAATATTAGACATGTGCACACAGAACATTTTTGGTGGCTTTGGTCATTTGGTCAAAAAGAAAACTTTTTTCCAGTTTGACCTACTTTCAGTCATATGTCTATTCTTTTTGGATGATATTTGGTGAAAATTTTAGTTGATCATTGAATTTCAGTCAACTATTAATCTCTATTAAATGGTGGCTGCGTTGCAGCTAGTGGGCAAGTGGTTAATGTCAATCGGCAGTGCGAGGGTTAACCATGTGACCACTGGCTAGCATAGGCTGGTCAGCCACTATGAAATGTAAAAACAGAAAAATTAGCTAAAAATGTCCGCGCACTCCCAGTAATATACAATCTTCCAGAATGTACAGAACGGGGGGTGGTCTATATAAACTATATAAATAAATAGGGGGAGGAGGGTGCCCCCCATGCCAATACCCATAGGCATCAGGTTGGGGACTTGACAATAATTAAATAATGGGAGGTGGGCAGATCGCTGTCCGCACCCTGCCTCAAGCCAAGGCCAGCAGATAAGGATATTTATTATTAAATGGGATGAGCATTCATCCATTCATATACAGACACATGGATACAAACACAGATTGGCAGAAACACACACACAGACTTATACACACAGATTCATATCTACACATACTCATATATATATACACACACACATTCATATACACACAGACTCAAACAGACTCTCTCATACCTGCAAATCAGAGGCGGCTGTAGACTTTATGATACCTTAGGCAAAACTCAAACATGAGGCCCCACTAACACCTAAAGTGAAAAAAATAATAGGGTTGTATTTTGTGTGTGTAAGGAGCAGTCGCTATATTGTTATATACACAATATGTATATATAATGCGCTAGATACAGAGAGTTAGTCTCTTAAAGCACCAAGGGGGTGGGAAAGGCGTCCAGGGTACTCACTCTTATCTCTTTGTGGGTGGCAGTGTAGGTGGTCTTCCTCACGTCTGACAGCAGCAGGTATCACAACGACTTTATATTTTATTCCTTAAGTGTTCCTATTTTTTGCAAGTGTGCTGTCCTTGCCTGGATATCTGTATATTCATCTTGTGATTATCATATACGGTTTGCATTACTCAATATTCCTGCTCTTATAGTCAGCTTTTTAGAGTGCTGCCATGACTATTTTCTCCCATACATTGCTGCAACGTTTATATCAATAAATGGGCCCTTCTATTATTTCTGTGTATTTTTCTGTGGATCATAAGTGTTTACTCCTGAGTGAAGACTGCAGTTTGTTTTGTGTAACCATCCAATTAGAGAGCCACCTCTGCCACACATTAATGTATACACACAGACTTGAATACACTCATTTATATATACACACAGACAGTCTCATATACACTCTTAGTTACATCCATACACACACTGAATTTTTATTTTAAAAATGACAAGAGGAGCTGGAGTGGAACCTGAGCCAGGGTGGATGCTGCTAAGATCAATCTCTGTGCACTGATTTCCCCGCTCACGTTTGCTCTGCACTGTTTCAAGTGGATGGCGTCATATCCCAGCACCAGGAACAGTACATGGCACGCAAGGGACCTGGGAAATCAATGAAGAATGATCCCAGCAGCTACCTCACTGCCCCACAGAGCAGCCACTTCAAATAGACACCAAGCAAGGGGTGTGCTGTGTTTCCTTCTGTCACCAGACACCCGGGGCAGACCGCACCCACCCTTAAACTACACCACTGAATGGTCCCTTTCTCAATGGCACCACTAAGATAAGGTAAGGGTGGTATAGGGCTAGGGGTTCATTAGTATTGTAGGTACTCTTGGTTTAGACAAAAACATAGGTAGGGGTAAACACTAGAAGAACAAAATATAGGCAGCAAACTCTGGATTTATGGATACCCTCAAAACATAAATAATTAGCAACATAAAACACACAATGGATGGATATAAAGAAAAAATTAGTAAAGAAATATACATGGAATAAATATTAAATAAACGTGTAAAGTTCAATATTCACAGTTAAATGATCACAATACCAGCTGCTTTTTTTTTTAATTCTTGATTAAGGCCCTTTATAACATGTAAAAAGATGCAAAATAAATGATAATAGTGCAGCGTGTTTAATCAGGAAGATAAAACTCATACTAGTGTAATGATTGGAATTGCACTTACATTTTGTAGAGCTTAAACTAGCTCTAAGTAAAATAGCTTACAGCGGTCCAATCTCCACTGATGGATATAAAACTCTGAAAGCCAGTGTACAGATGGCTATATAAAAAACAAAGAGATATACAATAGTGCTCACTGTAAGTAAAGTTTATATAAAATTAAATGAATGTGTTTTACTCACATTTGATAGAGCGGTATATCGCTCAAATATCTGCGCATGGTATAATCCCCACCAGGTATATGGTTTGGAGTAGTTGTTCAAAATTGAAGTTGAATGTGCCAGGAACAAATAAAATAGTTAAAAACTATTTAAAAAGTGCCATCACGCTATGGACCCAAACCATCAAATAGACAATACCTACGAGTAGGGACTACTAGCAAAGAGAGATACAGACAGCACAGGTGACGCAATATAGACAGGCACAATGACGAGGTTAACCCCAGTTTTTGGCCCCTGCCGACTACGTGTACCATCATTATGCTAGTTCTTTGGTAGACATACCTATATAGCGCAAGACACCAAGAGATGTACTGCCCAGGCCTGCATAACCTGACTTTCACACTAGTAGCACACAAGTCACACAAGCTCGAGATGCAAAGCAAGGCAGCCCAGAGCACACACCAAGACAACCCAAGCACAGGTAGGGAGATATCAGATACAATAGCATTGTTACCCTGGCTCACTCCCTTCTAGGGCAATATAAGCATTTTACTGCCTGAACAAAACAATTGCAGACCACCGAATAACCAGGGGCAGTACCCCGTACTTAGCATAAGCTCATAAGATCACTCCTGTGCTACTACATGGTACAGCCTATACAAGGCTCATGTAAGGTGAATTATGCAATCTGGGTATAGAAGACGAGGAGTCAGTGAAAGGATGAACCAAATCCTATTCCCATTCCCAGAATCTGCCCTGACGTACACCTACGGTACATTGCATAATGTATAACCCATTCCTGGCAATGTTGGCTCAAGACTCTGTACAGCTTAACACCTGATATGTTATGTACTTCCTTTCACTTACTGTAATCCCATACAAGCTTGGGGAAAAAAACGATAAATAAAGAGTGTCAAAAAAAAAAATTAAAACAATTTAAAAAACTATTAAAAAGCATAAAAGTGTCATAAATAGTCTAACACATATATAATAAGTGAAAACCAAATATTCTTTAATGCTAAAGAAATAAAACAAATACGGCCAATAAAAGGCTTTTTCAAGTATAACTGATGGGAATTATACCACCCATGCACAGATATTTGAACGATATACCGCTCAATCAAATGTGAGTAAAATACATTCATTTATTTTTATATAATTGTACTTATGGCTTAGGGTTACGTAAAATTAGGAGGGGGGGCTTAGGGTAATGGCTTCCAGATCTCCTTACCTTAACCACTCAGTATCTCTATACCTGCCGTATGAGATATACTGTGATACTGCCTGTCGTTACAATAGCTGCTATAATGACATTGTGCTAGCTGTGCAGTGGTATTAGAGCAAACCAGGTGATGGAATAAATGGACCTACTGGGACAACTCCAGAAAGGGGCTCATTAAGCACGCTAACCATTTCAGCTTTTTTACTATGTGGTGTTCTGCAATATACTGGTACACATTTTGAATTCCTATAAGAAAATAACTCCATGGTAGGAGAGAGTAACTTAGGAATTTCAGTTCCAGAGTGAAACACTTAGTATTCCTAAATGGACCTCCTCACTTACTGAGGACCCAGTAAGGTGGCTGTGAGGTTGAAAGAGGTTTAACAAGTAAGAGAAGGGGAATATAGCTGCTCTTGATATGAAGTGGGATGATGGTAGACAAAGGCATATGGTCAACAGACATGTACAAATCCGTGCTGAGTAATAAAGTACAGGCACGTTGATGCTCTGTGCATTAAGCTTACAGATATATTTAGCTTAACTACGCCACGCACCTCACATGCAGCATTACTAATGGTTTACACATGTAACATTTCTATAATGACTTAATGACGCTGACTACAGCTAATACAATTTTATGTAATTTATGGCAGCAGACTAATGTACATTTGATTAAAGAAGCACTGAGCAAATAAACACCTCTAAGGAATGTAAGTATATGTAATTTATGCGGAATGATGTATCGTCATGTGAAATTCACAGTTATTCCTTTCAACGCATGAGTTGTGCGTGTGGTTAAAAACTAAACACTATAAAAAGCACAATTACTGTCATATAACACACTTTTTAATCACAGACAGCAGCAAAATGACATATTATTTTCTTCTTTTTGGTCACTCCACACCTCAGTGTCAACTTGAGGTAAATGGGTACCCTGATCATTGTATTGTTAAGTTTGTTGGCCACATAGAGGAACATAGAATTGGGCCATCGTCCATCACTGTGTAGGTGAGTGTATAGACCTTGATTCTTTGTAGGAGTGCTCTTTTGGGCCAGATGAACCTTATTAATCAAAAGCCTAAAATTGACGAATATCACAAAAACAATATATTAAGCCCATATATGTGGGCAAGAGACACATTTCTATATTTCCCTTTTCATTGTATGCAGCCTTTCATTTCCACCTCAAAAAGGCATTGTAGCAGAGCTCCCTGTACCCCGACTGGGTATCTCCGCCAAGGACCGCTTCCTAGCAGGAACAGGGGAAAAACCTCAGCGCTTCTGCACCAGTTGCCGTGGCTTGACTGGGTTCCTGGAGCCTCTCCACCCTGGAGCAGGCTAGGGTACTAGCTCAATCTACCCCCAGGGACTGGACGACACACAGTTCTGGGAGCTCTAGTCCTTACAAGGACTTTCCCCGCTGAATCTTCCATGCTGGGACAAGCTGGAGCAGAGATTAGCCTTTTCCATTCCCAGTAACTAGACGACACATAGTTCTGGGAGTACAACTGGAATATATTTTAATGGGACATGGTACAGCCAAGTTATACACAAACTCCCAGCATTGGGTCTCCATGCAATTACACATAAACTCCTCCCTTGTGCCTGGGAGATAATTGAGTCAGGAACTGTACAAACTCATCTCCCAGATACAGAAAAGCATACAAGATACAGAAAAGCATATAAGGTAAATGTTGCACAAAGTTAAATGGATTTTATAGAGACAGTATAGTGAGGAACCTTCCAGCATAATTAAAATAGAGTACAGGACTAGTGGAAACATAGTTTCCTTGAAAACAGTCTGACAATTTACTTGATGCCAACAGGAAATTTGTGCAAGGATCCAATTCTCTCAAGTTGTTGGTTAGTCGGCATAATTGTGATAAATCACTGAAACAAAGTGGCATAGCAGGGGAATTTGCCTTCAGTCTTTGTTTACCAACAGTTGCAACCATTGAAGCCTAATCCAACATGGTAAACTGCAGCTAAGGGAACGTTCCGATATGGACACTGCAAAGCCTGTGACTACATTAACCCCCCCCAATTTATCTTCCATTCTTAAACAGCAGAAGTGGTATACACTAAAGATTTCATCAATTGCAGCTCCACGGGCATAATATACCTGATCAACTGTAGCTGCAATTTACAATACATTGGAAAAATGTATCAACAGTTCAGACCCTAAATTCTACAGCATACCAGCATGTCCAATGTCACTTCTCTTGCCAGACATGTCGTAAACTTTCATTATGGTAATCCTGATAATCTCAAATTTCAAGCGATTGTAAAATTAAGCATGTATTCCCATAAAGGCAACTTTACTCTGGCATTAGTTAAACAAAATCCAAATGGATTTATACATTTAAAACCATGGCACCGAAAGGGTTGAATGAGGAATGTAACTTCACACCATTCAATAATTGATATTGACACTACTACTCTACTAATTTCTTATTTAGAATTTGTTACCAATTATCACTATATTCCCTTACTTTTATTATTTTTGAGTTCTAATTAGCACCATTCTTCTGCTCTCCTGTTTTTTTCTTTTAGTCCAGTTTGCAACTTAATTGTTATGCAGGATGATTTGAGGTTTAAATTTTAATTTTACCATGAACTGAATTTACCATGAGATTTATGATACCTATCTGACATGCAACTTCCTAACTGATAATTCATAAACTAGAGGGATATTCTTGTGGGATCCTATATATATATATATACACACACACATTTTTTTTTTCCTTTTTTGTTTATACATTCCTTAGGACAGCTTCTGCCCTTTGTTACTTTTTTCAACAAAGGTTCTGCGTTTTAGGTAATAATCCACCTTTTTCGATTGAGTTTCCTTTAACTGCACTAATTCTTAAATGCATACTCCTGTCTTCATTGGCCATTATTATAACAGCTTGATACACTTTGCAGTAGGGTTTATAATTACGTAATTACTGCCCTTTTTAATTTATTATTTATTTATCTTCATTATTATTTTTATTTAGAGGCAGCATTTAGCTGTCAGTCTCCTAATTTTGGGATTCTCATCTGGTAGCCTCGATTATGTGAGATGTATGTTGTTTGACCAGCAAGCTTGCCCTTTCCTCCCCTCTCCCCCCCGCACCCTCTTTTGTTCATATTTGTTATAGAGATACGCCTTTAACTCATTAAATAGTTCTACCTGCTTTTAATCTATAGCAATGTTTCTATGTCAATGACTCCACCTCCCCATCTTTAAGCCACACCCCTTTTTGTAATTAGACAATCAGACACACACTCACTGACAGTCACGCTTTCTTACTGAAAGACACACATGCTCAATGACAGTTACACACACTCACTGATTTGACTCACCCTGACAGACACACACTCACTGTCATTGAGAGAGTGTGTCAGTGTGTGTGAAATTAGACAGTGTGTGACTGTCAGTGAGTGTGTGTTTCAGTCAGTGAGTGTGTCTATCAGTGAGTGTGTTTCAAATCAGTGAGCGTTTGTGTCTGTCATTGAAGTGTGTGTCACACTCACTAACAGAAACACACTCACCGACAGTCAAACACTCACTGACAGTTACACAATCTCACAGAAAGGCACACACGCTCACTGACAGACACACATATTCTGGAAGAACATAAGCTGGAAGCGCTCCCCCTCTGCCGCTGCCAGCCTCCTCTCACCCCCAAACACACTGTATTTCAGGAGAGTAGGCACCTGCTGTCCAGCTAAGAAGGAGCCTACTCTGTCTTGGTTGATAAGTGCATGCATCGGGGGCGCCCTGAGGTGGTCAGTCAGCCACGTTCTGGGCCCTGTCACAACAATTTGCCTGCTCCACGCGGCGCCCCAACCTCCTGACACCGAGCCCAGGATCCGCCTTGGCTAGTTTAATATAGAGACAGATTTTCTAGCACTCTCTTGCTTGTCAGCTTAGTTGCCCTCAAAGGGACAGTCATAGGTTGTTTCACTGGACAATGTTCAGTGCAGACATTTAGATGCCCTAAAAGTTTTGCTGAAATTGTCAAGGAACAGATCAGGGGAAGAGCCAGCACAAGTCAAACATAGCCCTGGCCAATCAGCATCTCCTCATAGAGATAAATTGAAACAATGATCAATGCATCTCTATGAGGAAAGTTCAGTGACTGCATGCAGAGGATGGAGACACTGAATTGCAGTACTGCAGAGTGTGCAGCACTGCCCCAGGAAGCACCATCTGAGGAGTGGTCAGTGGAATTATCGCTAGGCTGTACTGTAAACACTGCATTTTCTCTGAATAGACAGTATTTACTGCAGAAAGCCAGAAGGGAATGATTATGGAATAACCTGCAGTTGTTCTGGTGACTATAGTGTCCCTTTAATATAAACATACTTTATAGACTACTTTTTCTAGCTATCTTTTTAATACTCTTAATTATATTGTGTTCTTTATCTTTTCCTTTTTTGGTGACTTACTTTGTACTATTAGTAATAAAAGTTAGGTTTTAAAAGTATGTGTCTAGGAATATATTTGTTTCCTTTTTCTGTAATTCGCTTACAAACACCCCCACAATATGTGCTCCTTTAACTTTTGAGTTCCTGTAGAAAGAGACATGGATAGTGTCTGATGTTTTGTTAGAACAAGTGTGCAGTGTGGTGGGGTAAAAGTGATGGGGCGAAAGTGTTGGAAAGTAGTCGAATTATGAAAAGCATCTCAGATTCTCCTAGAAAACGTTGAATGAATTTACTTCACCTTCTCATGGACCTAAACCTCCAACAGAGTGTCCGAATGAAGAGTGAAGCACAGAGAGAGCCTAGTACCAGTATGAGGTGTTTACAATCAGACTCTTGTTACAAAGTAGACTTGTGCGCAAATGTGTTTCAGCTGACAAACAAAGAAAGGCCTTTTAGTCTGAGCAGATCGATCCGTCTGGGATTTACCTATGGAGTCTTATTCATTAAATATGACTAGACACGGAAATCCTTGACGACTTGATTAATCCAGATGCAGATGCAAAGGCATTTAATTTGTTCATACAAGCTGAGACACATTTGTGCATAATTCTATTACAAAGAGGACAATAGTAAGTTGATGTATGGGATATTCTCCCCGTGTTTGTAAGTAATAATTAACACCTATTCCCAATTCTCTGCAGGATTTGATGGTGATCCTGAGCACTCCCACATGTTGTTTTGTGTTTTACTTATCCTGTTAGGCAGGTGATGGGGATCATACATTCGTATTATGCTTCTTTATGTCCACACTGTAGTCCCTTACTCACAACAGCAAAGTAAAAAAAATAAAAGTTTGCCAAACATTTGCAGAATGAATGAGACGAACACTTGTGTATTTTGACAAACGTGACAAAACATTCAACAGACACTAGCCAGAGCTCCGTCATGTCAGTATTTAATTGTCTGTTCTTACTTTTTACAACAGGCTGTATGGAATATATGTCACTTTTAGCATTTAATAATATTACAAATGCATAATTTGCAATATATGTCATTTAAAGAAAACAGCACACATCCTGTAATACGGTTTCACAATAATTGGCAATAAGGATTTGTAAATTTTGTTATTTATGATAACTTGTGAATTCAAGCAAATGATACTTTTTAGCAGCAGATTACTCAGACAATCCGTTGGTTGTTTACTATAATGTATGATTTAATCCCCTCTATATGTTTTCTATTTGATTGGATGTAGTGAAATTGCCACCTGCTCAGCTCCACTAATCAAGTTCTAGGCTGAGGGTGAATTATGTATCTTCCTTATATCCCTAACCTAAATGCATAATAATAACAATCTATTTTGTAAGCATTACTGTCTCTTTCAAAAGCTGTTTGGAGGAGAGCATGTATAGGAGAGATCAAAGGGTGATAAGCAGATGTCAAACTGTTTATGTATTTGGTGATGAGTTTGAATTATAGACCACTTGTTTCAGTACCCAGACCTTGTATGACCTTACAACATCTAAATATTCCTTTTAATTGTGACTCACCCACTACAACCGGGAGCACCTTCATGGCTTTTCTCTCTCGTCCATTGATCTTGGCGTGTTTTCTTTCTGGTTCCTTGTTATTTGAGTATTTGAGTGGTGGGTAGGCTACGGTCTGTATTCCATGGCCATTGTCCACATAAGACTTTGAAAAAGGGCAATTTTGTTGAGCGTAGAGGTGGAGTTCATCCAGTTTGCTGTCTGTATGACTACTATCACTTAAGAGGTTAGGGCACTGTGGCTTTCGTCCAGGTCCAGGAGACATGTGACTCAGCAACTTGGCCTTTCTTGTCTCCTCCCACTTGCGAAGTCCATGAAACATAGCACAGTATAGAACAACCATAATGGGACACGGGATGAAGAATGAGCAGACAGAGGAATAAATGATATAGTTATTATCCTCCAGTTTACATACGTTTGGATCCCGGCCTGCCACGTTGTTGAGCCCAAAAATGACGGGAGAGGCAACAGCAAATGCAAAAATCCATGTAGTGGAGATAAGAAAGAGTTGTCGGTTGTCTACCTGCTGCCTGTTATAATGTAGTGGGATGGACACAGCGATGAATCTGTAAGATAAGTAGAGCAGATCTTTCTTAAACATTTTATAGAGCCCAGTATCAAATTCTTCATGTGAATTTTATAAGAATCAATGTAGTTAATGATCGCCCATAACACAAAATATTGGCGTGACGAGAGTCACAAATCAATGAGAATTTAGATTTGAAAAAAAATCACCTTTTTGAGTTAAAGGTACACTATAGTCACCAAAACAACTTTAGCCTAATGAAGCACTTTTGGTGCATAGATCATGCCTCTCCAGTCTCACTACCCAATTTCTGCTGTTTATGAGTTTAATCACTCTGTTTATGAAGCCCTAGTCACACCTCCCTGCATGTGAGTTACACAGCCTTCCTAAACACTTCCTGTAAAGAGTTATCTAATGTTTATACATCCTTTATAGCAAATTCTGTTTAATTTAGATTTTTTATATCCTGCACTGTTAGTATCTCCTGCTCTGTAAATTGAACTTTAATTACATACAGGAGGTTCTGAAGGTTCTAGCAAGCTATTAACTATTAAAGGAAGTTACATCTGGCTGAAAATGAAACTATTTTATTTTCTCATGCAGGCTGTGTGAGTCACAGCCAGGAGAGGTGTGGCTAGGGCTGCATTGACAGAAACAAAAGTGATTTAACTCCTAAATGACAGAAAATTGAGCAGTGAAACTTCAGAGGCATGATCTATATACAAAAATTGCTTCATTAAGCTAAAGTTGTTTTGATGACGATAGTGTCCCTTTTATGATAGAGAACAGGAGAGTTTAAGAGCTTTCTAGCAAAGACACAACCATTTAAAAAAAAATATATTAAAGGGCCACTATAGTCACCAGAACAACTAGAGCTTATTGAATTTGTTCTGATGAGAATAGTATGTCCTTGCAGGTTTTTTTTTTTTTAAAAGCAAACACTGTCTTTTCAGAGAAAAGGTAGTATTTGCATTGCTCCCTAAGGACACCTTCAGTATGCACTCCTCAGATTGGCACTAGAGGTGCTTCCTGGGGCAGTGCTGCACGTGACATTCAGTGTCTCCACACTCTGCATGGAGATGCTGAACTTTCCTTACAGAGATACATATATTCAATGGATCTCTATGAGGAAATGCTAATTGTCCAAGCCAGTGTTTCCCCCCTGCCCCGCCTCCTTGACAATCTCAGCCAGTTTAATGCTTTTCCTATGGGAAGGCATTGGATTGGCTGAGCTCATAAATTCTGATGATGTCAGACAAGGAGTCGGATTGGTGAAATTAGGTAGGCTTTCTTACCTTTTAAGGAGGGCAAGAGGCGGCAAGCCATCTAAATGGTAAGTTTAACACTATAGGGTCAGGATTGGAATACATGTTCGTATTCCTGACCCTATAGTTTCTTTCACTTGCGGAACTTGCCTGGAATTGTTCTGGAAGATTGGAAACACATTTATACTCTTAGATAGTTAAGTGAGTTTGTCAAGTATCACGGTTTGGTGCAGGAAGTCAATCGACTCCTACCTAAATTAACCCAGAGTAAATAATTGTATAGTACTGGATGACGTTAAAAATTCATAACCATAGATAATGCGGAGGACAAACAGTTTTATTAACATGATACTTGCGTCTAATTCATGGAAAATCCAAAGCAGCTGCCAGCACAAGATTATCAGACAATGTATACATGGTCAAATTGCTCAAGAACAAATCCTACCAAACAAGGTCATTATTGGGATAAGAATGGGATAAAGTAGATGTAAAGCTCTTCAACAACATATGGCCAGCCACAGTACGTAGAACCTAATGAGTTCCTCTATCGAAAATGCAACATACAGCATAGAGAAGCAGTAGAACGCTGTTCTCAGAATGCAGCACACAAGAACATTTACTCAATAATATCTGTCACAGCAAAAATATTGGATATAAAAGCTGTTAAAAATCCAAAAGAAAAGCATCATACATATTGTATTTACTTCTATCTCCATTAACATTTATAGGAAATTTTTAAAACTCTGCAGAATATATGTGTAAGCTGTAACAGCAATAGCAGTAATGATATATTAACTCCAAATAGACTGAAAATGTATGAAAAAAAGTCTCTAAAAGTCTTATTTTATCATATTGTAATATATTTACATTAAATGTAAGAACAATTTAATGATTGAGATCAGATTAATATTTCTATAATGACGCACTATGCTCAAAGATCCTTGGTTCTTTAGTATAAATTGCCTTATATAGTTGGTATAGTTGGGGTCAAATGTCATTTCTGATGTCAGAGGTAATATCAGATGAGAGATCACTCAATAAAGATAATACCCTGTAACGACAATGACCCATCTCATTGTTAAAATGGACCTATAAACTCACAATCAAAACCTATAGAATATGTTTGTGCTTCATATATAATATAAAAATTATAATCATAATACTACTATAATATGGTACTTTGATATTTGGCCCCTGAGTTGGTTGCCAGAAGGATAAGGAAATTTAAAACCTGGACAAGTTTTAATGTCTTACCAGTGGCATTTATTCAAATGCCAGCTAAGACAATCCGTTAGTTTCTTATTTATTATCCCAGTGTCAAAATGTTTCATTTAACCAACTTTCCCCTAATGCACATTGGACACTCGTGGGAGACAACACATGGTAGGTCTGATTAAAAACAATAAATGAGTTTTAAAAAAAATTATCAGAGTTATTTACTAAAGTGAAAATCGTTGGGAATTTAAAGACATTCCAAAGTAAATAAAAATTTTCAGACCAAAATAGCTCAATTGAAAGTATAGCTGAATTACAGAATTTTTTCCCAAAATTAATTCACATTAAATTCCCAACAATTCTCACCTGTACATTCCATTGAGTACATTAGAATGTCATAAGATTAACAAAAAGTTTCAAGAGTATAGACACATCTTTTGTTTTCTGTGCATCTATAAAGTAAGAACTGGGGATAGCAAGAATGAACTGAGAATTTGGCGTTCTCAGGAGTATATTTTCTAACCAGAGAACTGTGGAGAATTGACAATGGAATTCCACATTTTAGGAAAACAGATGAGTTAATTTTAATAATGAGTAAATTTAACTTGTTAACTTTCCCAATTCCTTGTTTAGTGGATTAACTCACTGAGGTCTGTGAAGGTTCTGTATTGTAGGTCATTAAGAGAGTAATTATGATGAACATCCTTTAAGACTGCTCCAGAGTCACAAATGAGCATCTAATTAACGTTTAAGAGCTAATGACTTACATTAATTATCCACGCTAGAAATTGCTTTCAAAAGCTTGGTCAACAACACCAGGTGTAAAACCATATATTAGGCTCTTAATGACTGACATCATGAAAAGGAATAGAAGAATATTTATTTTTACAAAGGAAATATTTATCTTAAAAAGATTTAATTGGGAGTATTTTTCTAGGGTATTGCAGGCATGGCATATGCCCTAGGCACCACCTGAAGGGGGTGCCACATAAAAACAGGATGGGTCTCCGGTATTGATCGGGCCCCCTCGAGCCAGTAGGTAGATCAAAAGATCTCCCGGCACAGCCCTTGAAAAATGACTCCTTGGTAGTCTGTGGTTCCTCACTGTTATGTGAGTCAGAGTGCAGGCACTGGGATTCTCAGCCCAGGAGGTTGTGCTCATTTTGGGGACTTCTTCTAATCTCTCATCATCTGATCTTTGTTAGGGGCTTTGTCTTTGGATAATGACCACGTCACTTAGCTTCAGCTAGAGTGCTCTGCCCTTACGATGGTTTGACTTGTACAAAAAAAAATCACTACCAGTTCCTCACTACCATACAATTGTGGATCACAGAACAACACAAGAAAGGCTTAGGTAATTTACAAGAGGTGTCATTTTAAGAGAAAAAAGGCTCTTCTGCCCATGTCTCTGAGGATTTAGAAGCCAATCTAATCTAATTTTATATGAATTATTCTAGTATGTATTCTTCTGACTAAAGAAAGTAGCTTAAAGACATCAACTGAATTGTTCATTTTTTTCCCCAGTAAATCCTTTCACCAGTCACAAAGAGATAAAAAAAAGAGATTAAAGGCACAGGAAAGATCACATGACCTTGACATACGGAGGACAAGAGTGAGAAGACGTGTGATTGAAACTTTCTTATTCACACAGGTTTTACAATAAAAAGAGATATTCTAGGACATGAAGTTGAGCATTTAGTCTGGAAATTTTTTTTTTTTTTAAAGTTTTGATCTGAATAGAAAATAGCAGAACAAAAAAATGACCTATCTTTCCTGTGTATTTTGCAATTCGCCCCGCATTATCAGACACTGCTTCTTACAATCTCATGTTATTAATAGTTTCCATAAAGTTCCAATATATTCTGCAGCTTATTATAAGATATTTACAAGGTAAAAGAATGTGCAATGACAATAACCGATGACTTTACACAAATTGCACAGAATACAAATCACACCATATGGACATTTAACATATGATCCAGCAAACTCTGGATTATTCTTCATACTGATGGGATATGGTGTGGATACATCTCTGTGGTCATTACAGAGAGGTGTTTTCCTGAGGCCTTAAAGGGACAGTCACCCAAACCATTTCATCTCAATGAAGTGGTCTGGTTGCAGTGGCCCTGTCCTTTAAGTTTTTGTTAATACTGCAATGTTTTCATTGCAGGCTTAAATCTACCTGTATTGGCTGTCTTCCTGACAGCCAGTAGAGGCACATCCACTGTTCTGACAAGTAACACTCGGTCATGTAATGTGAAAGCCCATATAAAAGCACGGAATATAATTTCTATGGAGTAGCTTATATAAGTGTGCAATGCTCTTTGTGTTTGTGCATCAGATCATCAATGCTTCTCTAAGAGAAGCATTGAAATCGACCATAACCTCTTTAATGATGTCGCAGGAGGCTGAGAGGCGAGCTGCACCTTGGGAGCCTTGGTGCTGGTAAAAGGTAAGTAAAGTCTTTATTTTATAATTTTTTGAGAAAATGGGGGTCTGGGCAGGGGCACCATAGCTTTAAGAATACAAATACTCACATCAAAGAAGATCATAAGTCGTGGCTTAATGAGGACAGCCATTCACTACATTTATACCATAATTATTACTATAATTGTGTCTACTATCACGGTTGTGATGCTATAGGTCTGCGATTGGCCAACGTTAGGAAGTTGAACCTGGTACCCAAAAACAGCATTCACTTACCTGTCCACGCTGATTGCACAGAGGTTAAAGATGGAGGCAGTACAAAGCATGACGTCCATAGTCATTAGGGCATCGCAAAGGACAAGGCTTAGAGTCCACATACCCCCTAGAAACTAAAAAAAACATGAGAAATGTTAGAATAAGCATAGCAGAGTATGACAGGGCTTGGGATCAGGGTGACGGTGTGCCCTCTTTAATTGGAGAAACGTTTTACAATATATACTGCATGGTTACATCAAAGCCAATACTGACCCCATATAACACATTTTTGCTGTCTTTAGATTTATGACACCCTCGGTTTATTTAATAGCTCAGACAAGTAAACCAGGGTCTCTGCAATCCTACTAAAGCCATTTCAACAACACAGCCTTTAATGATCTCGCCTTATGAATCTTAAGCTTTTAAAAAATGTAATATTAATTTAAGATTCGCCTGCCCAACCCTTGAATATGGACTGATAGAGGTTTCCTAAAAATAAAAAAACTCAGTAAGAAAAAACAAAAAGAAAGAGAAAGTGTGTGTGTGGGGGAAGGGAGGGAGGGGGCAGGCAAGAGATGGGAAGTAAGGAAATGAGGGAAGGAAAGAAGGAAAAGAGAAAGATATAAATTTGCAAAATAGACAAAAGACACACAGAGATAGTCTTAGTGTTTACATTTATTGTTAAAAAATACACATTAGAGAAGATGTTATCACATTTACTAGCAAGCTGTAAACTGGTATTTATCTTCTTAAATTAGAAGTTGTCACATCTAATGCAACAGATATTGCTACTTCCTTCAGGCTAAAACAATGTTTTTTTCCATCATTTCACAGATAAAACCTACAACATGGTAAACAGATAAAAAACAAACACATGGAATGTATGTATTCCTTCTTATAATATTCTCCCTCTCTCTCTCCACACCCATACTGTTTTTCCAATGTGTGCTCACAAAAGTTACATCTTATGGTAGAGCAATGTTATCAGTTCAGCCCTGCAATGTACAGTAACACAGCTACAGGCAAGTGTAGTGGGTGGGTGGGTTACTCACTTACCTCTGTGTACACATAAAGGGGTAGAACCAACACAGCCAGGAGCAGGTCAGCCACAGCCAGGCTGACTATGAAATAATTAGTGGTGGTTTTTAGAGCTTTCTCTGTGCAGACACTTAGACACACCAACACATTTCCACAGATAATAATGACAACGAGAAGGAGTCCAAAGACCAAAGCCAGATAGTTATAGTGAGTGTCATCAGGAGGTACATGGTGGGAGGTTTGATTGGAGATGTTCACGACCATGGCTTCTTGCCTGAAGAAACACCCCTCTGCCTCTCCAAAGCTGAAGACCATAAATCAGACAGGGTGATTGCTTTCTTATCCAGAGCTGTTCTTCTCGCTTTGTCTCCCAGAAAGAGCAAGTCTTTCCAAAGAGACTTCATCTATTCCTCTGGAAATCCTAGTGATGTCCCTTGGGGTAGCTTTTCCTTGGATACTCAGAAGTCCTATGAGCAGAGGTTGGTTCTTCCATTCTTGTTTGCCAGTGGACTTTAACCACACTGACTGCAAGGTCAACAGAGTCCAGGCAGGTCACTGGGGACCTCACACATCAGCAGTGTGATGCTCCATGGTGCTCAGTAATGACCTCTTAGAGCAGCATTGTGATTGACACATTGTGTCCCACATCCATCTGGTGCAAAGTTCTGCCTCCTAAACAGTTAGCAGCAGGAGAGGAAGGATCATATTAACCCCAGACAGGTCCTGACTCTGGGTGTCCTCTCTCAGTGTGATGTCAGTGCGCACAGCGCTTTCTTCTCCTCTTTGGGAAGAACTGAATGATCCCAAGGTGATTAATTTGCAAGTGGGTCGCGTCCAGGAGCTGAAAGCCGATTAAGGTGGAGAGGGTTTGTATGACAGCTGCTCCAATCAGCAGCCAGATCTCAGACCTGCTGAAATCCCAGCGCAAAGCTCGGCTTAGATCAGCTGTGACTGAACGGGGAGCGAGCAGAGACTGCATCACCTGCACTGCATCACCTGCACTGCACACACTGCTTCACATACCACTCTGCACACACTGCTTTACCTACACTGCACACACTGCTTCACATACCACTATGCACACACTAATTCACCTACACTGCATATACACTGCATCACCTGCACTGCACACACTGCATCACCTGCACTGCACATACTGCTTCACATACCACTCTGCACACACTGCTTTACCTACACTGCACACACTGCTTCACATACCACTATGCACACACTACTTCACCTACACTGCATATACACTGCATCACCTGCACTGCACACACTGCATCACCTGCACTGTATATACGTACTGCTTCACATACCACTCTGCACACAGTGCTTCACCTACACTGCATATACACTGCATCACCTGCACTGCACACACTGCTTCACATACCACTCTGCACACACTGCTTCACCTACACTGCATCACCCGTACTGCATATACACTACATCACCTGCACTGCACACACTGCATCACCTGCACTGCATATACACTGCATCACCTGCACTGCATACATACTGCTTCACATATTCTGCACACCTACTGCTTCACCTGCACTGCACACACCTTTTCACCTGCACTGCACACATACTGCTTCATCTGTACTGCATAAGCACACATATACTGCTTCACCCTCACTACACACACTGCTTCACCTACTCTCGACACACATTGCTTCAAGTGCACTACACACACAATACTTCACATATTCTGCACACACACTCTTTCACCTGCACACACGTTTCACCTACACTACACTGCACACTGATTTATCTACACTACTTCACCAGCACTACACACACTGTTTCACCTACACCAGCTGCCTCACTTGCACTTAATTGTAAACTTACACTGCTTCACCTACTTCACCTGCACTTTACTGCACACACTACTTTATATGCCTTTACAGTACACACACTTCTTCACATACTCTGTGCACACACCTAAACATCAACACACAGACAGCTGAACCCCTTAAGGACACAGGCCATTTTTGCATTTATTTGCTGTTTGTATTCAAACGCAATTTGCATCTCTGTCATTTATTGCACCAGCACGTTATACATGTTTTTTTTAGAGGGCAAACAGGGCTTTAATTTGATGTCACATATACATAGATACATTCTCATTAATTCTATAAAAATTCCAACAACCCAAAAAAATTTTTTTTCACAGTTTTGGCAATAATAGCGTGTGCCTAATATGTCCGGCTTAGAATAAGTAATTCAAAATAAATTCATTTATGTGTCTTGATTTATAGAGTACATCATATGTATAGGATTTCATCTTATTTTGAAAGCAAAATACAAGGACTAAAATAAAATTTCAATTTGCAACAATTTTAGAATTTGGTATGCTTGTCTTGTAGGTTTAGTAGCCATCACATAAAACATAATTGCCACACAAAAGTATATATTTATATAAAGGAGACATCAAAGGCTATTTACCTAAGGTTAGTTTGACACTTTTTCCGTAGCCATTTCATCTCCAATCTCTGCTAAATTTTGGAGCAAAATTTAGTTTTTTCTCTATTTTGGCATATACACATATAACAAGGTTTTTGCAATGTGTATTTCGTAAAGCTTGTGTGTGCTATTCCTGCACAGAACCCCATATTGTGGTCAGCTATATCTGCTCAGTATAACAATACCCCCATTGTATGCCTTTGGCACTATTCTGTGAAGCTACAGTGCCATATAAGAGACAAGGCTATTTCAGTTTCTATAGTTAGAATTTTCGTAGATGGATTTGATGGGCCTATGTCTCATTTTAGGGTATTGTAGCAGTGTGACTGTTCAAATAACCCCACAAAGGGCTTTCATTTGATAAAGCAGACACCCCAGGGTATCTTTTTTTTTTTTGTAAATATATTTTTATTTGATATAAAGGTTGTCTCGTTCAAATATTCGAGGAGAAGAAGATGATGAACATGCAAACAAAAATTGGTGACGCGCAGGTCACATTGTAACGTTGGAAACAGTGGTTTGTTGGACTCGCAGGTCCCGTGAAACATATTCATTAGGTAGTATTTTCACTTGGTGCGATATATGAGGGTATGGACCTACAGGTCCCCACATACCTAGAGTTAGTGCCCGCGTCAAGAGGTTTCGGGTCGCGTCGTGTAACAATGCTTGTTTGTGTGCTCGTGCCAGCGGCACGCCTGTCCTTAGGTGGTAGGTAGAGTAACGGTATAGTCGCCTTTGTGGCAAGTGCAGAGGCGATTGTATCTCGCAGGCTTCTGCGTGATGCCGCCTTCTAAGAGGTCGGGGGAAACGTTGTCCAACTTGTGGTGTAGGAGTCGAAGTTATAGTGAGTTTTCGTCGCAGTTCGTGCGGTCTGTAGGGGCGTGTGTGTATTGTGAGGGTTCTGTCTGTCGGGGGTCGGGTTACTGTCGGGGTATGTCTTCGTCTGCGGTCGCTTGGTCCACGTATCTGAGTCTGTGTGCGAAGTCGTCTTTGGAGGTCGTCAGGAGCCAGTGTGACCAGATTTCTAGATATTTGTCAGAGGCGTTAGTGGCGCACATGTTAAGTTCTTCCACTGCCCTAAGCTCTTCCATTTGGGCAAACCAAGTAGTCAGTGGGGGTGTGACTGTCTGCTTCCAGAATTGTGGGAGCACCTGTTTGGCTACATTTAACATTCGTATGGTTAGTGATTTCTTGTATCGTGATCTGGGGGTCTTCGTGTGGTGTAGGAGCATGGCCTCGGGTAGGAAGGGTGGTGGTGCATCAGAAAATGTTTGGAGGAAACCGTGTATGCCTTTCCAGAAGGGTCGGATGGCCTCACAGTCCCACCATAGGTGGAGAGTGGTGCCTATGCCAGTATTGCATCTCCAGCAAAGGTCTGAGTTGTCTGGGTTGATAGCGTGGAGTGTGGTCGGGGTACAGTACCAATTTGTAAGGAGCTTAAATGCCGTTTCCTGTGTCTTGCTGAAGACTGAGCAGTGATGCGTTAAGTAGCACATCTTCTCCCAGTCTCCAGCAGTAAACGTTTTACCTAGTGTCTGTTCCCATTTCCCCATGAACTTCGGTAGCTCTGTTAGGGTTTCCCTCTGGAGTGTAGAGTATATGAGTGAGATCCCGTGTGGTTGGGGGTCTGGGTCCATGCATAGTCGTTCGAACGTGGTGGGATCTCTTGTCAGGGCTGTGCCACCTGGGAGTGTGCGTACATAACTTCTTAGTTGTCTATATTTGAGGTGATGTAGTAGGGTGGGAGTGGTTCCTTCTAGAAGGTTAGGGAGTGTTTTGCAGTCAGTCCCGTCGAGTAGATGGTATAGTTTGGGGTCGTCATGGTGTAGTAGATCTCTGAATGCGTTGGGGTCGGAGCCTGGGGGGAAGTCATCGTTGTGGGTCAAAGGGAGGAGGGGGGACGGGTACGGCGCCAATCTGTACCTTTTTGCCGCCCCCCTCCACACCTGCAGTGTCGCTGCCGTGTAGGGCGAGCAATGTCCTCCCCTTCCCCCCCCCGCTTGCCATGGCAGGGTGGACAGTGGCCTCCCAGCCTCCGCTTCCTCCACGTCTTTCCACATTTTGGGCGCCTTCCCTTTTGACCACTCCATGACTCTTTGGAGGTGGCAGGATTCATAGTACAGGGTAAGGTCTGGCATAGCCAGGCCTCCCCTGTCCTTAGGTAATGTCAGCGTGGACATCTTAACCCTCGGTCTGCGATGGTTCCAGACATATTTTCCCATTGCTTGTCTCAGGGTGGCAAAGAAGTGCCTGGGGATAGTGGTGGGGAGGGCCTGCATAAGGTAAAGTAGGCGCGGGAGGAAATTCATTTTTATCACTTGGATCCTGCCTAACCAGGAGATATGTGGGAATGCCCAGTCTGATAGGTCTCGTTTAAATCTGTCTAATAGTGGGGCAAAGTTTTCTTTGTAAAGGTCTGTGGTCTTCTTAGTCAGCCATGTACCAAGGTATTGGATCTTACGGTCCGCCCATTGGAACGTGTGGCTCTGTCTCAGTGGTGTGGCCCTGGTCTCGGACACGCTGACATTCAGGATGTAGGACTTCGAAAAATTGATTTTAAGGTTGGAGATGGCCCCGTATTCCCTGAACGCTTTCAATATGTTTGGTAACGTGATTTCAGGGTTGGTGACAAAGAACAGGAGGTCATCGGCGTATGCCGCTACCTTATGTTGTGTGCCTCCCTTTGTGATGCCCCTTATGTCTATGTCGTGCCGCACGTGAGCCAGGAAGGGCTCAAGTGCCAGCACGAATAGCAAGGGGGACAGAGGGCATCCCTGCCTTGTGCCGTTGTGTATCGTCAGCTCTTGTGTCACTGCGCCGTTGACGATGACGTGTGCCGTGGGTCCGTCGTATAGTGCCTCAACCCAGCTTTTGAAGTGTGGTCCCAGACCTATGTGATTCAGTGTATGGAACATATATTGCCAGTTAACCCTATCGAAGGCCTTCTCCGCGTCCGTGGATAGCAAGAGAAGGCCTCCATCGTTATCACCCCGGCTGTGTATAAGGGTCAGTGCCCTGATTGTATTATCTCTTGCCTCGCGGCCCATGACGAATCCCACCTGGTCCGGGTGTATCAAGCGTGGTATGTGGGTTTGGAGGCGTGTGGCAAGAATTTTCGCCAGCAATTTGACATCGCCATTGATCAATGAGATCGGTCTGAAGTTACCGCAGTATTCCCTGTCTTTGTCCCCCTTTGGGATAAGTGTGATGTGGGCAGTCAGTGACTGTTTAGGGAGTCGATGGCCCTCTCGTAGTGCGTTTAGGGCGTCTAGTAGGGGGGCGTAGAGGTGGTCAGCAAACGTTGTATAGTACTTCAATGGTAGTCCGTCTGG